AAAACCCATCATATACATGTCAAACGTGGGGGTACGAATCAAACTTTCTTCTTGCGAACCCCTCATTCAGAGATGACGGTTAAATTTGAAAATTTAAACTGAAAACTGAAGCTGAAGATTTTTGACAAAAAACGAAAATATTTAATTGATTAAAATTATTTGTGCCGTGAAAATATCCCAAAAGTATGAAGAAATTAAATACAAATGATTCTCGTATCCCAAAGCCTTCAGGCATCATGAAGACTACCAGTAAAATGTTCGATTTCAATAAGATTAAAGAGGAAAATCATTCGCAATCTTGCACCGAACCTCAGAAAAAACCATTGACTGGTAAATTACAACAATTAATGATTCTATAATCTTAAAAACTCATAAACTTTTTATCATGTTTTATTGATTTAGAATATAACAAATCATTCTCATCGTTTAAATTTGAAACAACATCCAAACCAAATAATTTATTTCAAAAATCAAGCTTGAGAAGAAGTAGATCTTTGTCAGATGTTAGATCAGAACCTGGCCCTGCAGCAAAACGCTTCCATCCAATTCTTGAAACGATCCCAACTAAACGTTTAAGACCCAATCCGATTTCTAAATCTATTAAGATCGACACTCTGGGGAAAAGGAATGCAATTCATAACACTTTGAAGGCTGCATCAACATCCAATGTTGTTAAAATTGTAGCTAAAAAAGCTCCAATTATATCATCTACATCAACTTTCAAAGCAAAACCAACAACAACTGCAAGTAAGCCTGAACCATCACAGCCAGCAAAGACTGTTAACAAAAGACCGGCACCTTATGACTTTAAAGCTCGATTTTACAATCTTGAGGAGAAATTTAAAATTCAAAAAGCTAAATTTGATAACCAGAAAGAACAAATTGTTTCATTGGAAGAACAAAATGAGCTTTTGGAAAAGAAGGAAGAGGATCTTGTAAAGAAACTCGAAATTACCGAAAAAGAGTTATCAGAAGCAGATGGCATTAATAAACAATTGAAACTTGAAATCGAAGAATTGACAGCAACAAATGGACAACTTCTTACAAAAAATACTGCACTTGCTAACTCATTATCGTCTACTTCTGAAGAACTTAATGAGCTCAAGGTGAAACAAGAAAAGCTTGAAAAACTATCGGAAGAACATGAAATTTTGAAGATTAGAGCTGAAAATATGGAACAAAATATCGCTAATGCATCAGATCAACTCGCTGAGTCTCAAAATAAGCTTTATAGCATCAACATTGAACGAATGGTTTTGCATAACATGGTCCTAGACTTGAGAGGAAATATAAGAGTCTTTGCTCGTGTTCGTCCTCCAATAAGTAACGAAGATGATAAGATGGCATGTGGTTGGTCATTCATTGATGAAACAACACTTGAAATCGTTAGTAACGAACCCGTAGCTGGAGGACGTAAACAATTAAGATATGATTTTTCATTTGATCATGTCTTTAATCCCAACACAACACAGGATGAAATATTTGAAATAGTTTCGCCTTTAATTCAATCAGCTCTCGATGGATACAACATCTGTATATTCGCTTATGGTAATTTCACATGAATTAAAAATGTCAACTTTCTTTTTCTGTTTTAACATCAAACACATTTTCTACCAATATAGGTCAAACAGGTTCGGGAAAAACATTCACAATGGATGGAGTTGAGGGCAAACTAGGAATCATCCCAAGAACTGTGAAACTCTTATTCGACTCTATCAATTCATCTAAAATTCTAGGATGGAACTATTCAATAACTGCAAGTTTTCTTGAAATATATAATGAAGTTTTGTACGATCTGTTGAGCAACGAAGACAAGGATATCGAAATTCGCATGGCAAATGCTAAAAGCAAAACTGAAATATATGTCTCAAACATAACACAGACAGAAGTGAACACAGCAGCAATGTTGTATGAATTGATGGCTATTGCAAGATCAAATCGAGCAACAGCTTCGACAATTGGGAATGAAAGATCAAGCAGATCCCATGCTGTGACGAGACTTGAAATCGTTGGAACTCATCCGAGTAGACCAGAGAGACTTGTTGGATTTATTAATCTTGTTGACTTGGCAGGAAGTGAAAGTCCTAAAACAAGCCAAAGGATGGAAGAAACGAAGAATATTAATAGATCGTTAAGTGAATTGAGCAACGTCATCTTGGCTTTGGTTCAGAAGAATGAACATGTTCCCTATCGGAATTCTAAATTAACGCATCTTTTAATGCCCTGTCTAGGAGGAAATAGTAAAACTTTGATGTTCGTTAACGTTTCTCCATTCCAAGAAAATTTCATTGAAAGTGTTAAATCGCTTAGATTTGCTGCCCAGGTGAATTCTTGTAAAGTAGCAAAAGCTAAACGTAATCGTCAGTTAGTTGTTAACGCTAACACTACTTTAGTTGGACAATCGTCTAATTCATAAATCAAATCAACAATTCATTAAAATAACTTCCCTTTTCTTATTATCGATTTAAATATCTTACAAATTATAACTTTCATTATATATTCTAATCTGATTTTTCACAATAAAACATTCAAACTTAATAACCATCAAGCAAATTTATTTGAAGAAAAAAATTTGACACATGGCAACGGATCTGAAATAAAATTTGAAACTATTTTTATTGATGATCAGTTTCAAAATTGAATGAATAGAAATATGAAAAACATCAGCTTTCTTCATAAAGAAATTGTTTATAAACAACTTGATGATAAAATTGACATGAAAAATAAAAATTTTAAAATAAAATAAAAGACAATTTTTTCATATTTCATTTTTTATTGAATATGTCTCATCGTGTGCTTTAAGTAACCGTAAATATGAAGTTGACAACAGTTTAAAAAAAGCTTACACGTTTTAATCATATGATTAACGATATCTGCGTAAGTGAAGACGATTCTTGCGACGCCAAGCTGCACGACGTGAACCACCAATAGTTTGAGCATAACGATATCCTTTGCCCAATCCACGGGAACTTTTTCCAGCTGATGTGAGGCCACGTAATTCGCGATGCTTTTGAACTGGATTACAGATCCAGTTGACCTTTGGATCACGACGAATAGCGTTGTGATGAGGATCAATGCAAATAACTTCAAAGTATTTGTAAGCAGCGTCTTGGGCAACCCAATAGGAATTCAAGACACGAAGTCCTCCCATGCGTCTACCAACGCGTTCCTGAAATAAATAATTTTACTTGAACTTGATTTCATATTCAATTAAGATATTCATGTTTTAAATGGGAAGTTTCAGACATCTAAGGAAGGTTAAACTTAAAACATCAGATATATTGATCAGAGTGATAATAAGTTGTTATATCATCATTTAATGTTATTTATTCATTTCAGGAGCATGTGCTTACCTCAGCGACAGATTGTAAATTTCTGTAAGGCTTCAATTCGTTGACACCATGGCTCTTAGGTTTTCCGTAAGTGCAACCTTTGTGTACTGGTCGTTTACGACCTCCACGACGAACGCTAATGCGGTAGATGAGGAAACCTTGCTTTGCGCGATATCCCAAACGACGAGCTTTATCTGGTCGGGATGGCCGAGGAGCACGATGAAGTCTTGTCAATTGACGATACTGCCAGCAGCGAATACGAAGCAGGTATCTCAAAACATCGCTTTGTTTTTTACGATACAATTCTTGGACGTATCGGTATGCACCCATTCTTGTTGTATAAAGATAGACCTAGTAACGAAATCAAAATTCAAATTCTTTGATCAGAAGTCACATCATTGGTCTATCATGATTAAGGCGGATCATGTTTCATCTGAACTTAGTTCAATGAAAGTCTTATTTTAATTACTTTAATTTCAAATTGTATGAATAGAGATTTCTTACCTATTGGAATGAAATTTCCAACTGCATAAAAGGAAAAAAAATAAGAGAAACAATATTAAAATTTGATCATTAGGTTATGTTATAATTTTTATGTTATGAGATGAATAATCCATGATTTTGAATTACTAAATTAAATATGGACTAAACCCTACAATGTTGAATAATAATTGGTATTGCTGGATGTTTTTATTAATTTTTAAAACAAAATATAAAAATAGCACACCTTGTTCTATCAACGAGGAAGGAGAAAAAGAAAGAATCATTGAACGCAGCCTCAAACCTTCCTTTCATGAACGTACTCATTCAATATTTAAAATTAAATTCAAAATTTTTGAAGTCGTTACTAATTAATTTTCAACTTTTTATATGTACAACTTATAATCATCGAAGATGACTATGTAGAGAAAACTGTAAATAAATTGTAAATTTTAACATTAAAAGTCTTTGATTGTTGTGTCGTAACTAATCATTTTTTATTTTTGTATCGTTCTATTATTTCACAAGATGGTATATGAAACATTTTTCAATTTCGAATTTCCCGAGAATGCAAAAAAGAAAAACTAACTTACGAAGAATGATGCAAATTCAGTTTTCATAATGTAAAAATCCTCCCTTTTTGATTTACATATGACATTCCGAAAAAGTTCAAACTTCGTCAGAAAATTTTCAAAATTGCACCAGGAAATGTTGCAGATTCTCCTTATAATTACTTAAAAGATGGAAATGTAAGGGACTATAATGTCTCACCCACCTAGAGATGTTTATTTCCAAGATATCTGTCACTGGGTTTTAACTTTGATTCTTGGACGCATTAGTTCGATCTTAAAAACTTTTTAAGGGAAAAAAAATGCCTTAATAATAAATTCCGAGTTGATGGAAAGTACTTTTCAGAATTATAATTCGTTTTCTTTGATAATTTGCTTTGCAACTTTAGACTCAAACTTTACGGTGAAATACAATATTGCCTTGTTCTTGCTTTCATTTCTTTTTTGCTGTTTTCACGATGGATTTTTAAACTTAAAATTAATCATTTCATTTTCGACGACTGGGTTGTAAATGGTTGTTATCGAAGAGACAGTTATAATAATATATTTAAAAAGCGAACAACAGCAAGAAAGCCATCATAAGACAGAAAAGTCCCATAGCTTCAGACAAAGCGAAACCCAAGATGGCATATGAGAACAATTGTTGTTTAAGTGATGGATTTCTGGCATATCCAATGATGAGTGAACCAAATACTGTTCCAATACCGGCACCTAGAAGTAAAGAAAAAGAGCAAAATTGGCGACAAAAATGTCGCATAAAAATCTTGTTCGATTCCAAACAAAAACAAAAATCACACGAGCATTCATTTATTCATGATCAACGGTTAGAAGGAATAAGGATTTTTTTTTAGTAAATCGAAAAAAGGAATTATTTTTAATACTTGACACCATCATCTTGAATTAGAAAATCTACTTGAGTGACTAGAAAGCGAATAACATTAAAAATGAAATCATCAGACAAAAGAGTCCCATTGCTTCAACGAGAGCAAATCCAAGAACTGCATAAGAAAATAATTGAACTTTTAACGATGGATTTCTTGCATATGAGGAAATAAGTGCAGCGAAAACTGTTCCAATACCGGCGCCTGTTGATGAAGGAAGTAGGAATCCAGGAAATAAATAGGATTAGAAAGGATTAATCATATAAATTTGGTGCTGTTATGATGTTTTCATTGAAGTAGCATTAAACTAGAAACAGATTAGTCTGAATTGAGTTCTGGTCATTATTAAAATGTCCAGCTTGCAAATTATACTAAAACGGCGAGTTATGAAAGTTTCCAATGCAAGAAATCAAGTCTTACAGAATTTCTGGTTCTTTCACCTTCAGTTATTGAAGCATCCTGCTGGGATGTTCTCTATACAAGCATAGAGCACACTTTTTCTCAGACCTTCCCGAGGCTAAGTTGAGTAATAAATACTCGTATGTGAGCCCCAAGTGCAAGATTGTTTCTAGTTTTGATTCAATGTTTTTTAATAAAAAAAACTTTGAAATCATCACATCTAGCAATATTATATGTTGGAGGAAGTAAGTATTAGGTAATGATTGTTCAGAGCTATATCACATGCAAAAATATTTTAAACTTACCAGATCCAGCGACACCAACTGTGGCAGCACCAGCTCCAATGAATTTTGCAGCTGAATCAATATCACGTGTGGCTGGGGAAGTTTGGAAACTGCGAACTTGAGGCAGAAGCGCAACTGGAGTTGTGTTTTGAGCAGCTAATGCTTGACTCTGTGAGATGACAGCACTGCTCAATGGTCGGAGCAACTGGCATCCATTGGCGACCTAAAACAAAAAAAAATCGAAGGTTATGTTTAAACTTTTCTTATATTTACGTAATCAATAAATATTTTTTTTTAATTTTATATCAAAAAGGCAAATTTATAGTAAAAAAAAAGTTTCTATTACGCAATTGCGCTTAAAATAAGGATGCTATAAGTTCGATAAACTTTTGAACGCATTACATCACAGATTAATTTTAAGGAATTTAAACAGAAACTTACGATACGTGGAGCGACACGGGCAGCTGATGTTACGAACATTTTGAATAACAAATTCTTAGAGTTTGTCCGGTGCTTAAAGGAGGATCTGAAAAAAGTAAAATATAATTATTAGTTTAAGAAAATTTCCATTAAAATCGTTTTTAAGAACAGCAAGTGCAGCATTATGTAACAATTGATGGCATAGCTATTGATAATAGATTTTTACCAAATAACTTATAATTTTTAACATTGCTACCTTAAATTGATTCTTTAAACTTAAGCGAACAAAATTACATAATATACGCCTGTCTACCTTCTATATTTTACTAAAGATTGATAGTTTTCACTTTAAGAATTCAAAATGGCGCTGGTAAAAAATCTTTTCTGCCGCTTTTCTAATTAGGTATATAGTATCACTGGATTCTCTAAATTTATGAACTAAATTATGTTAACTTCTTATATTAGATAATCTTTTTCAGAATCATAGATTTCAATATATAAATTTTAGGAGGACTTAATAAATACGTCTACTTACTTCCAAAATCGGTTCACAATGAAGTTGCTCCTGAAATAACGAGGGGCTAGAAATTATTGTTTTCACATAGGTATATCAAGAAAAAATGATCTTACTTAAAAATAGGTACCTAATTCATATTCAAAAGATAAATTGAAAATTCAATAAAAATAAAGGAACGTTTTATCAAAATGCTTCAATTCAAATATTTCATAAATGAATTTACAACCATTTTAAATCTTCCAATTATAATCCTTGCTTTCCCCTCGAATTCTAAAGATGCAAATGTATACTTTTAATAAAGTATACTTCCAGAGTAGAAGTCCAAAATAAATTTATTTATAAAATCGAAACTATTTTATCTTTATTGGTCACAATAGAACTAATTCTTAAGCATTAGAATATTTAATATTTTTAATAATTCACTTCTTTTATTCAGTACAAAACAAGTTTCTTTGGAATGAATTCATAAAAAATTTCATAAGGCATTCTATTCTAAACGATCATAGTTTCTCACCCTTCCATAGGAGGTTTGGGAGCTTAGAGAAGTAAATTTTAACTACTTAAAACGGTTCTGGGATGAAGTTAGAATATTAATTACATTACCAATGGACCGCTGTACCCAATGAAGTGTTTGCACATTTAACACAGCAATTTTGAAGAGTATAAAAATCAACATCAAAATCAAATAAGCTTCTCTCTCTCACACGACCGAGGGTTTTTGTCGATTTAAAAATAAATAAATAATTATGGCTGTATTTCTCCTAAATATTTGTAAATTTAATAAGTGTGGCATGGAGTTTGGGACTTTGGTTGACCTCATACAGCACATAGAAGAGAATCATATTGGTAAGTATGAATAAATGTAAATAATATAAAGTTGCAAGGCCATCTTAAGTCTTCATCGCCCTTTAATAATTACCAATATGGAAACTACAAAGTACATATTTATATTGTGTGTCAACTTAGATTATGACCCCAGCACGAAGCCCGATTGTCTTCCGTTGAGCTGTGTTCAAAGATTCATTACAGACGCGACACGTAAAGAGAATCCACAATTTTTGGTGAGCTCAGGTTCAGTTGAATCGCTTGATCGAACAAGCAATGCAAGCGAACGAGTTGAGGTAAAACGAAAAATTGCCATCAAACATCACAGTTATAGTATGTCCTCATCAAACCGCAGCAATACTCCAACAGGTAAGAACTCAATCGATCTGCGTTTAATTAATCATACTGTTTGTAACGAAGCGACGATGAACTCATCGAACGATTACGTACATTTGTTATAGAAAAGAAAAGAAAAAATAATAATCCCAGAAGCAAGAGATAAGCTCAACGATTCGCTTTCTATGTGTAAGATAGGACAAAAAATAAAATTTGTTTGGGAATGGAGAAAAATAGGTCAAATTTTCTCAACGTTCGTACCATTTTTCTTCTTACGTTCGGGAGAAGCTTTTTGCGAAGTGAACAAAATGAAAATAGAGACAGGGATGAGTTGAGTGGGTGGTATTAGCTGGTGGTTGTTGATTTTCTTTTCTCATTCAATGTGTAAAGTGGATGTACATGTAGTCGTGGGTGAACGATGTAACATGAAATTTTATTGATTTTCTTTTCTCTTTTCCTCCCTTGTTATATTTTCCCCCCAAAAAAACTTCCGCTTTCGGCAGGCAGTGAAATGGATGAAGATGACATAATGGTATCTGAATCAGAGGACAGCAATGAATCATGGACTACAGAAGAATTTAGTTCTGAGTTCATTATGCGTTATGGTAGCAGATCTTCAGCTCCAAATGGATCGAATGAAAAACCGTTCGCATGTCCGGTACCTGGATGCAAAAAACGCTACAAAAATGTAAACGGCATTAAATATCATTCAAAAAACGGTCACAAAAAGGATGGCAAGTAAGTTAAATGAAGAGCATTGTTGCCTTTTATAACTTTTAAATGACTCTGTTCAAATTTTATTATCATTCATAGTCGAATAAGAAAAGCTTTCAAATGTCATTGCGGCAAAAGCTATAAAACGTCGCAAAAACTAAAAAATCATACGCTACTGATTCATTCAGCTGGTTCTACATCTGATCTCTCACTATCTTCATCATCGATGTCGTCACTCAATTCAGCGCAACAACTGTCTGATTCGGCTTCACCACCACTCGCAATAACTTCTTTAAAAAGCTCGATAAATCTCGTGACGATGAAACCGTCAAAAACCATCAATGGTGGAGCGGGATCGTCAAAAGTTATTAAAGAAAATATAAAAGGAGACAACAAAATTCCGAAATTAACACCGATGAAAGGGTACGATGGACTTGGAATATTAACACCGGCGACGTCGCCTAAGAATCAAGCTCAGCAGCAACAACAACAGCAATTATCAACAGACAGTAATCAACTTCTTAATGGTACTAGTAATGTGAACACCTTGAATAACGGTGTTGAGAATTTGCAAGGCATACCACTCACACCAGTTAGTCCTGCTCCATCACCCAGCTCATCGACAACAAGTACAATCAGCTATCATCCGATGAAGAAAGGTGATTCGTAGTTGAGAAAATGTCTTGTGGTAAGGTGATGGAAGCATCCAAATGCGTGAGTCTTAATTTTACCTCAATTTCTGTTGTGAATGCAATGGGCCAACCAGATGAGATTTATTTGAGGCTTCACATATGGTACTCTTATCCCTGCTTTATTCTTTTATCCATCTAAAATATTTTCATCATCGGTTTTTGTTATGAAAGTCTTTCACTTGTTGATTAATCTTTTGAATTCTTACCTATTTATATTATTCATATTGCGTATCTGTTAGTGCAATTCTCCTTTTGTTTTTTTTAATGTCTTTTTTTTCGAGACTAATTAATTATTTAACTTTCTTACTTTATCTTTGAAAGAACAGAAAAAAAATCTTATTTAAGCAATGTCAATGATAATCGAATGATTCGATGATGCAATGACATTAGAAGTGTGATGTGATGCGTTTGACTGAAACTTTACTAAACAAATTTATTTTAGGCAAAAAAAAGAAAACAAAAACAGAGAAAAAAACTAATTACCTATTTCTTAAAATTTTGACTTCAATAGTTGTGACATAATAAAATATCTCCTTATGATCGTTCTGTCGCGTCGCGTGTAAATTATTAAATAGAAAGAATAAAAATATCAGACACAATTTTGTTTAACGTTCTCTTTCCGATCCTATAATTTTCATTTCCTCTTATGACGTCAAAATTTAGTTTATGGCGTAAACAAAAATCAATGGTTCTATATAAATCAGATATTCTTGCTACCAATGCACGTGAGCATGTCAATGAAATAATGTTCTCTTTCTCAGAAATGCTCATTGACTTAACAAATCCTTTAGTCTTTAATTTTTCATTCTGTTCTGAATATTCTTGTAGTTTTATGTCTTATCTCCTTGTTTGCTTGATTTTTAAGTTCATTAAAATATCCAAGAAAATAAAGAAAAGAAAATGAAATAGGTAAGAACTAAATTGAATTAAAGAAAATTCGTTCTGTGTTAAAATGTAGCTAGTCAAATTTTTTATTTTTAAATATCTCGCTATAATATTAAAAGCTAATTGTAATCTATTCACGCAAAATGAATAAATTAATTAAAGTTAAAAACATATTTATTTGATTGAGAAAGATAATTTAATTAGATATTTTCTTTTTCTTTCTTTAACAAAACAAAATGAAGAAGCATAATACGAAGAATTGTACACACAATAATAATAATATTATTATATTAATAAATATCTTAAATAATGATGATTGCTTATTCTTAGATAACGCTGAGTTAGGAATGTGTTAGAGTATTAAGATATAAGATGTGTAAATTTTCTTTTAATTTATTAAAACAGTCTCATTTAAAAAAGAAAATCTTCAAATGGACAGTTTGATAATTACAGCATTTGATACAAAAATTTAAATATTGTCGCAAATAAAATTGATAGTGGCGAATATTTAATATTTGCCGACACTCTTACATTTCATGTGGCTCTGTTTTAGTCTTGATTTAGTCTAATCAAATATCTATTCTACATGATGCCAAGTGAAAAAGTTCTTCACAATGGAAAATTTTACTTTCTTCATGGTTTTCTTTTCTTTTGAAATTTTCGACATTTTGAATAAAATCTTACGCTAAAATAACGAAAAATAGAAATTGATAAGAAATTTTAAAAAGTCTTAATTGATTAGAAATGTTTGGCTAGACTTTCACTCATCCTGAAAAGTTAAATATTTGAACAAGGTTAAAGAGAATAATGATGACGATTATAGATTTTATTTTCATTTATAATTTTCAACTATTCGTAACCTTTTGTTTTCATTATATTGCTAAAAGCGTTATTCAATCTCAGATTTCTCTAATTCAAGACTTTATCCAAATCAATATTTATAAAAGAATTTACCATTCGAAGTATCTTTAAAAGTATTTAACTATTTAAAGTTATTTACAAGACTAATGAATACTTTCTTTATTCTTATTTTCGTTATTTTTATTGTTTGATACACTTCATAGAGAAATTTTAAATTGAAAATTTGTAACTCAAGGCTCCGATATTGCATCGACTGTAACTGATTTTAACTTAAATATGTATTCGTGTGAACTAGATTTCGCTCTAATTGATCTCAACAGATATAATTAGATGCCAGAGAAGTCAATACATCAACTGATATAACTCATGTCAGCCTTTGCATATTCGGAAGCAAGAAATAAATTTATTCTGAATGTCCTACAGAAATTATTGAATTACTGGAATTATAAAAAGTATTGATAACAAGACAAGACAAAGCAAAATTTATTAACATGCCTGGTAAAAGTTGTCTGTTTTAGCTTAAATAATAGTAAAAAACTATTCAATCTTTTAAATCAGCAAACTTTTGGCGGAAAATATCGCGACATTTTATCTTAAGAAAAATGAATAAAAAGTTCAAGTGAGAAAATAAATAAAGAATTCTTTAATGTAAAATATATTGGGAAGATATGTATCTAAATGCTCATATCATTGCACAATTGAATTTTATTTCAGATTTTCAACCTTCAATTGCATCAATAGAGTTGTTCAATTAATAACCATCAACATTGAGTGTAACGTTTCCAATAAAAAAAATGTTTAAACTTTAAAGCACATTTTACTTCTTTGCAGTCGGTTTAAAAGTCATCAGGTCTAAGATGAGATTCGTTTAGAAAATGATGCAATTGAAGAGATTCGGGAAGAGATAAATATGAGGTGAGTTAAAAATAGATTCCATTTCTGGCTCTTTTCTCTTACATCACAAACGTTGTTCGGGATAAATTTAAAAGAAAAGAAAAAAAACAAGAAACCGCGAAATTTCAAAATTATAAAAGGTAAACTGGTGAAATTACATTCAGCTATTAGGAATATTTTATTATTTGGTAAATTATCATTTGTTTACTCATATATTTAGATACTTTTTCATTCACAACAAGTATGAAAGGTTACACAATTTCAATAATAGAAAAAAAAGTGTATATGTGTACATATACATGAAAAGGAATGATGTCATGCGCTCGCACAATCCGCCTGTCTTCTCTTCGTGATTCATTTCTTTCCCGACATTGCTGCGATAAAATTCTCTATTTTTGTTATCAGCTCTCGATTGTTTGTCGTTGATGCTGCATTGTGTATGTTACGTAGAGAGTCGATATCTCGTAGTTCGAAAGCTAATTTTGCTGACTCTTCGTAGAGACTGTCAAACAAGTAAATTTATGTAAAACTCAAATCAATGAAAGAAAAACAGAAAAAAATCTCACCCAGCTCGATTATACCAAATAATTTTTCTATCATCACGGCATTTGTTTATGTATTTTTTAGCTTCAGTGAGTTGTCGGCCCTTCAAACAGACTTCCACAAAAGGCTCAAATCCTATTGGTGATTTTTTTGATTTTGAGAATTTTTCAAGTTCATCCCACTGATAATTTGATCCTAAAACTTCTATTCGAAGATACCAAAAGTGCTTGTCACTCATTTTGATATCATTTTTTATTTTTTCAGCTAATTTTACATCACCAAGTACAAGCAATTCTCTGATTGTATCATGTAATGACAGTCCATAAAAGGCTCGTGCATATTTTTCTTCCAAAACTTTTTGTTGTTTCATCAACTTTCGATGATCTTCACTTAATTCTGCTTCGACATCTTTATGACCTTTCTTAAAGTTGTTAGAGATCTCAATGAGTGATGAATCCAATTTTATATAGCTGTCTAATGCTTCTTCTAAAGACATCTCAGCTTGTGCAAGGAAATCATCTTCTTGCATATAAATATCCTTCAACGCTTTCACATTATTTAACTGACAATACTTTTTATAAAGGTTCTGAGCAAGTGGAAAGTCTCTAATGATCATTTGGAACTTTGAAAGAGGCGTTGAAACTTTCAGATGCATCAACACCATGTAAATAAGATTCGTGTCACCTGATTGCGTTGCTGCAAGCAAGGCCTTTTTGTTTTCATTAAGCTTTAGTAGAAGTGGCACTTGCAGACTACAATTAGGTTCAAGTTCAAGTAACTGAATGGCTAAGTCAGTTTTTCCCACTTCTTCAGCTTTTTTTGCAATTGCACAAAACGATATTCCAAGTGATGTTGGATCTTTAAACTTTTGAACAAACTTTTGAATAATTTCAAGGTCATTTTTTTCAAACATTATCTTATGATACGCCCAGTGTAATAGAATCCTCGACTCTGATAAATTTAAATGCTTTGCAATTTGTATTGCGAGTCCATAATGTTTTCGAAATACGAGACGATCAAGGACTACAGTGGGAGTTAGATGACGAAGTTGATAGTATGTTAAAGGAATTCCAATATCTTTCTCTCTCAACGCATTCAAAACTCGAAGATTACGACAAACTTGAATATATTCATCTGGATTATGACCTTTGATAAAGCCTTTTCCAAACTGTGCTGCTCTCATTAAACTTTTCTGTGTTTCAGTATCAAACTCAAAGCTCGCTGCTTCAATACATTCACTAACTGCTACATCAATCTTATCGAAAATCAAGCATAAATACTCATCAGATTGATGAGAACGTTCACTAAACTTTCGATGACTTTCGAACAGAAAACTGGATGGTTCTGAAATGCTTATTCCAAATATATTGCTGACGCATTTGGGAACCTTTTGCACGAGTTCATGATAACCATTCGTAAGAACTCTTACCCCATCCATTTCAGGAATAAGAAAAACTGCTGGATCGTAAGTGTAAATATTTGAATCTCCATTTATACCAACAATGAGGAGTATTGAAGGATAAGACATTACAAGTGCTTCAGCTTTAAGAGGATCATCAGCATCAATGCACCATTCCATTTGCTTTGGCATTTCTGTTCTTCCAGTATTAAATTCACAATATTTCGTCCTCAAATCAGATGATCCCATCCAAAGAATTCCTGTGTTTGTACACATCGCAACGTGTCGATTATTGAATGACACTGATATGAAGCGAATGGTTTTGTAATCAAAATCCAAAGAAATTCCCATCGCTGTGCAAATATTTTCGTCTTGTTTGACTTTAAAAATCTCTTGTTCACGAGTGATGAGGCATGTGGTCCTTCGATCTTCCATGATAACTGCCCAACTTGCAGGATCTAATGAAGATTCTAAGTTAGAAAGAAAAAGTAACAATAGTTAGTCATTAAAATCAAAGTCAAGTCATCTTACTTGGGATTTCTGGCAGCAATCTAACTTTAGGATCTTTATAGTTATTGACAATAAAGATACGGAAATGTGTTGTCATTACAGCGACTCCAGTAGCTTGATAAGTTGCAAAAATTTTAGCGTCAATCACTTTTGTATCTGCTGCTTCTTGTCCCATGCTGAATTTATGTTGATATTGACCGAAAATATTATAAATAAGAACGACGCCATCCTCTTGTATACAAAGTAAATCTTCAGAATCACTCCATCCTAATGTTAGTAATGCTCCAGAATTCCACTGAAATGTATTTGAATATTTAGAAAATAAAAACTATAAGGAAAAAACTCACATTGATTGAAGAAAGAAGATGACCAGAACATGTAAATATATAAATTATAGGCTTTGATGAAGATCCTGTTTTTGTCAATTGTTTCATGTTTTTAGTAATAGCAATGGGTCCACCATAAGGAGCAGCAAAAACATTCATATGCTCTAAATTTATGTTTTCAGGAAACTCCAATTGATAAAGTTCGATTTTCCTAAATTTTCATTATTTTTTAATTTAATAAATATAATTCAGGGAAATTATCAATATTTTCATCATACCTATAAGTATTTCCATGTCCCAATGTGAACCAATCACCAATATTATATAAAAGACTCATATTTTTATATTGAAAATAATAACATAAGTTTTATTTACTTATTTTGTTGTAGATTTGTTCGGATTTTTCTACTTTTGAGTAGAATCAAAACAATCGGATAATTGAAACAGAATTCAGTTTAACCGAAAATTCAAAAATTAGCGGTATTCATGTTGATGGGGGTTATTATTATGAACTTGATGATAAAGAGTATTGTAATCATGAACCAAATCATTAAGAATTAGTTTAAGTTTCTCTATTTCTCGCTTATAAGTGTAAACAGTTGCTTCGACACCATCACAATGCGTTTGAAATTCAGCTAAGCGATCGCGATAACTTCGTAGTTCATCATATTCATTTGTTGACAATGTTATTGAAGGACGAGGAATGACTCTAAGAGGGTCAGGATCGCTGTTATAAGGCCTAACATTTTCAATCGGACTGATACTATGATATTTCCTGATGTCGTTGTTGGTAGCTTCTTCGCGTTGAAAATAAGTTTGTTCAGTTCTTGGAATCGATAGATAATTCCCATTCGCATAATCCATATTCATCTCGTTTGAACGAGAGCTTCCTGACTCGCCGTATCGTCTTTTAGGTTTTGGGGGAGAAGACATCCGGTCAAATACAGAAGATTGTCGAACTCTTTCACTTGTTGTTCTTTCCCAATAATGATCATTTCTTTGGCCTATTTCTTTATAAGACTCCCGTGTTGTTGAAAGAGGCCTCGCAGAGTTTACTTCTGGAGATCTTGTGCCATATCTTCTAGGCGATCTTGAGCGTTTCATTGAATGATTATCATGTCTTGAATTTTGAGAATGGCGATTGCTTTCATGACTTTCTTTTGACTTGTGTGAAACATGAGATTCTCGTGAATCGCGTCTTTTATTGTTTACAAAATTATGAGTTGAAATATGAGTGCTTCTTGTATTATGATAGTTTGTTGACAAATCATGACGTTGGACTGAGCTTTGCGGACTTGGGTTTTTATGTTTATTTCCATCATCATTATCATCAAGACGTTCTAATGGAATGAATTCGGGGAGATCTTAAAGGTAAAAACATATAGAAAAAAAAAACTTTCATTAGTACAGATGATTTTATTTACTTATTCTATTTGAATCTTCATTCCGTTTATCCATCATTCGTAGCTTATTTTCTGGTAGAAAGTGTCGTCTCATAATTTTTTAATAATTCGTAGGCTTATAAAGTATAATAAAACAGATTTTAAAATTATTTTGAGATGAGCCTGCTTCGACTTGTTTTATTTTTTAAATAATTTCTTAAACGTACTCAAAATAACCCTTTAAAGATAGTCACATTCCCCTTCGATTGTTGTTTGGGGGGCCCCCAAACGTTGACAAAGCTTAAATCAGATATTTTATACAAGTTTTAAAACGTAATGAATTCTTCTAAAACTTTTACATTTAGGACATCAAGTTGGAAAAACACGTAAGCTTGTTATTATTTGTAAAATTCAATAAATGATGTTAAATGTTTCCTCTCTTTAAGCGATGAAGTGAACGAAGTTTTTAAGTTGATTTTTGATTCATCGTCGATTGTTGAAGACAAAATAAAAGCTTATGATATACTTCAAATCTGGAAAGTCCGAAAATGTCAAGATACCATGGCAGGTGTTCTATGTACATTATCATTATTGAATGCTCATTTGAAGGACTTCAGCGGTGAAATAAAAGATCCTTCTACTCTTAGTAATTTATATGCAAGTTCATTAACCAAATTCTTAAACTATGCTGCTGCTTTTCAAGCAAATGAAGCGACTATGTATAGATCAGCAAAAAAACTAGGAATCGAATCTTTCTTAATCGATCTTCGACATCTTTGTGCGCATGGAAAGCAGCAAGTTTCTCTCGAAGTCTTTCGGAGAAGTCTTCAATATTGCTTTGAATGGATTCGGAAATTCTACTGGGAAAAGGAAATAAAGAACATTTCCGATGCTGTAGCTGAGGATGTTTGCTATGATTCTGTATTGGTAGAAAAACTGAAGGAATTATTTCCAGTCTATGACGCCTTCACTAAACTCGCACATAACAAAATTTTTTCATTTGGTGATGCATCAGTAGACGATCTTGATCAGGATCAATGGTCAGCAATAAACAAATTTAAAAATGGGCATAATTTCAACAGCGTTCTTCAAGGGCATAATATTGTGACTTTGAAGTTGTCTAAAATTATCGAATCGAGTCGAATGCGATTGAGTCCGAAAACCTTTTTTAATGAAATGTTTAAGTGGTGCAGATTTCTGTTACGATTTAATGAACCTTTAGACAACAGAACTGATGAAAATGATGGGAGTGAGGAGGAATCATCTCCAACTAAACGAAGAAAACGTGATTCTAATACAATTGTCAATTTGTTTCAGCCACTTATTTGGCATTTAGCAAAAAACGATTTTCTAAATGAATTTATTCATCATCTGAATCACATAAGTATCAATGAAAAAGATGATATTTCTAAACGCAAGTCAGCACAGTTATGGCTTATGGTTATTTTTGAAAGCTTTACATACTATCAAAACTATTGCAAATTTACCAACAATAATGGAATTTGGGAAAAGAAAATTACAAATGACGTGAGAAATATTTATAGTTATCAGCTTGATGCAGATTTGAAGAAAGTTTTTATTTTTGTTGGAACACAAATGTTACCTTCATCATTGAAATATTCGAGAAGTTTCTTCACTAATATACTAAATAACGTAGACAAAGAAAATGAAGATATTTGCTTTAGTCTTCTCCCTTTCATTTACCCACCACTCAGTTCAGAACAAACCGAAAAAATTATTGCTCTCATTAAAATTAAAACCACAGATATTCGATCAAAGAAAATTTCAAGCGAGAACATTTTCACAGTTGAAGATCTTTTTTCTTCTTCTGTTTCTAAAGCAGATAAAGATTCAACAGAAATTAAGGATAATATCATATGGGAGAAATCTTCAGATAACATTGAGTGGAGCACGCATCCCATTGGAGGGGAATTCCTAGCATTTTGATTAAGTTTAGTGATTCCTATGTTATAAAAAGTGAAACCAAAATAAAACAAAGTTTTTTTTCATAATTGCTTCAAAAGAAAAATTTCCCTTCTCACTCCCCATACCCTTAAAAATAACCCTTGAAACTCAAACTGATAAAAAGAAAAAAATACTATTTTCTCTAATAATTTTAAATTTAATCAAGTTTCAGCTAAAGCTTTTCAAGTTTAGTCTTAAATAATGAAAGTACACTTTCGGGAACAGTATGGCTCTAAGGGTAAGGTTTTCTACCGTATAGAATTGTGTAATTATAAAAGGTTTATAACATAAAATTTTGTTCACAAAATAATGAATAATTAAAATTGTTTTATTCTGTCTTCATTTTTGATATAATTACAGGTGAAGAGTTTCTTTATGTCACGCCGGTAGATGCCGAAAATTTCCCTGAGAATCATCAAATTGTAAGAGTAACAATTAATGGTAAAAAACCAGCTATAAGCAGTAAAGGATTCTTCTTGATTAGAATACTTCAAAAAGCTCTCCTTCCCCATGGTAATTTAGATACTACTAAAGATAATTGGATGTTTCTTAATCTTTAATTACATTTCACTTTTATCAAAGGTTACCCTGACTCTGTCTCTGAGGACTATTTCGACTATCAGAAGTGGGACACATTACAAGCTTTCGCAAGCACAATAACAGGTTGCTTAGCCACACACTCGGTGCTCAAAGGTCTTGGAGTTGGTGACGAAACATCGACTGCACTTTCAGCTACAATTACTTGGATTCTTAAAGATGGCGCAGGACATCTGGGGAGAATTTTATTTGCTTATTGGAAAGGGTAAGTTTAGAAGCTAATCGATATATCAATCTTAATGAAAAGACCATCACGCAAGTTTCATTGATGACCTTATTTTGTTGAATGTATGAATTATATTTATATTTTAATTAAATCAAGATTGATTTTTTCTCTACTGTAAGTTTGTTACCTCACGCTTTGATTACATTTTGTTATTTAACTTTTTTTTTATATTTTCTTTAAGGAACGATCTTGACAGAGATTCCAAAAAATGGAGGCTACGAGCTGATGTTTTAAATGACGTGGCTATGACAATTGAACTTTTCTTACTGCCCTATTATTCAAAACATTCTGTTTACATTTTATGTTTAACAACAATGATGAGATCATTGGTTGGTGTTGCTGGTGGTGCAACAAGATCGGCTATGACACTTCATCATGCAATCCGAAATAACATGGCTGATGTTGCAGCCAAAGATTCAGCTCAGGAGACTTGTGTCAATCTTATTGGATCATTTGTAGGATTATTTTTGCTCACAGGCATTTCAAGTCCATTGTGGCTTGCAGCAATATTTTTCCTCATGACATGCATTCATATCTATGCTAACACAAGAGCTGTGAAGTCAGTCTGCTTAAAAACATTTAACGAAGCTCGATACTTAATTGCTCTCGAGGAATATTTTCGTAACGGATCGGTGCTTCCTCCGAAAGTTGTAAATCAATTGGAACGAGTTACGATTGGACAAACAGTATCGTTGGCAGTTCAAGTGAAGTTGGGATGTTCAGTGAAAGATTTTACAGAGCAGATTCGAAATCGTTATGAAATTGAAGATCTTATCGCATGTTTTGAAACGAGAGACAAATTTTTAATCGCTGAAACAAAAGGCTACGTTGGAGTTTATCTTCATTACGATATCAAGCCTCATGAAATATTAAGAGCTTATTTCTTTGTTGCTTCATATCTTCAAGATCGGTCACAAATACGCGATAATTATTGGGAAGTTCAGGCAAAATGGAGTGAATTTCTGAATCTCGCACAACTCGCTGGTTACAATGTCCATTCGCATTTGTTGAATGTTGATGAATATCGATGTGATTGGAGATTCATATAGAGATGATCTAGAGCTTCATCATCGGTTCGTACTCAATCTTCGATTCCAACGAAACGATGTTCATCAGCTAATTCCGATCATCCAAGATATACGATACGATGATATCACAATTCAACACTTTTAAAAGATTCCCAGATAAAAAGCAAGTTCTCCATAAATCGTAAGTAAACCTTAATACCGAATGGAATACTTCAAACATCCGACTGTTTATAATAATAACAAAGTATATTTTATCGTATTCTTGTCAATCATGATTCAAATATTTCAATGAAAAACACTTTAATAACTCTAGTAGGTCATATGATAAATATGAATAAATTCTTCCGAACCTCAATGCACTGATTTTTTCAAATGTATCTTCATAACGTGGAAAGCTATTTTTGCACAATTTTTTTCGTCACAAAATAATTAAGAACAAATATAAACAATGCATATGCTAGTCAGTGCTTTCAATTTAAAGAGTTATGAAATGAATGATATTAGAAGAAATGCTATAGCTCGCATAGTTTCGACAGTTTCTTTGCCTTTGATAATTAAAACATAAAAGAAAATTCGAGTTTTAAAAGTAATTAAGAATATTTGCAATGATTACGTAGCTAAGCACGTTCAACTAAAGCTCACTGAATTTATTGAAAACCATTCCATTCCAAACGAAACACATAAAATATTCTGAAAAATGAAAGCTTGCGGCTTTTTTGACATTTTAATTATTATAAAATTTAGATGCCTTTGGCAGTCGCAAAATTTAACGGATCTTTAACACGTCCAAATTGAAAAATAATGTTTTGTCACAATTAAAGCTTAGATTGAAAAAATATTAATTAAATCACGTCTGTGATAATTGTTCTAACTTTGATTAAAACTTACATTCATTGTTCTAGCTGAAAAATATAAAGCAAAAATGTTCAGCATGTAAATTTTGCATTTAAATCTTAATTTTAAGTTTACAAAAGAACTAATCATGGATTAAGTAGCGTGTGGTTTTTACTCACGTTTGTCGATAGAATTGAAAATTTCAATAATTCATCTAGAACCTAAATAAAAATGAACCTTGTGAGAGACCTATGAACATGCACTTGGCTAAAGTAGAAATTATTTATTAAAACTCACCGAATATGCTTTTACAAGATTGCATCGTGTTTGATTCGATTATGGAAAATAAATCACTGGTGAAGTTTCTTTGATTTTTTATACTTTAGCTGTATGTATGTAAATGAAAACGCCGCTTAAGCCCTCAAATGTACCTTAAAGCATTTAAATAAAATAATTAAAAATATGCTTAAGAAAATTTAGGAAAAAGCAGAAAATTATTCCTGGTGTTCAATTATTGACTATACATAAAACTAGAATTAATTCTTAATTTATGATATTAAGGGATCAGATTTTTGAGGGTTCGCTTGTTTGCAATATTTTCACTAGAGTGTGTCAAAGATTTAAAAAAAAATAATGAAAGAAATTAATTCCTTAATTTTATTATAATTTTTAAAACACTAAATTGACATAAGTTAATAATCACGTTTTGCATGACATCTAACATAATATGCAGAATTGGCTACTTCAAATTCAAAATTTTATCTCAATTAATACAACATTTAACATCATAACAATTCTCTTGAACTCAAAACAGATAAGCATGTCAGTAAATTGCTTGGAAAAGAATTAAAACAAACTTAAGAGAGAAAATTTATTTTCTGAAACATCCATCATTATAAATTGCTTTTAGAAGGGTTTTTTAAAAGTTTTCACTTTTTAATAAATAAAGAAATAATTCCCTTTCCCAAGAAAGTTCTGTTTTGTTTAACTTGTTTTCAGCAATTTTCAGATTGATAAATAAAACAGAAAGATTGCAAAATCTTTTCATCTTTGAGATTCTATGATCTTCAACTTCTCTTCTTTCATTTCTCTTCATAAATAATTTTAATCAATGGCACATCGTTGAAGATGTGTATTGAAATATTATTGGCAGTAATCTGAATGCTTAATTGAGAACATCTTTCTTCAAGGGGTGAATCATCATAGTGCTTTTTCCTGACGTCCTGAAATGACACTTCGAAATTTTAGTGTTTCAACAAAAACACGTCCATTTTCTAAGAATTTACTTAGATTTTCTTGGAATTCCTTCTGGTGCTTATAGTGATTCTCCCCTTGTCTTTCTCGAAAGCTTCATAAAAAAATACTGAGATGAGATTTCAAAATTGCATCTTCCGACGTCGTCGACGAAGTAATATTTCTAATTTTTCCATACATCCTCTGATATTTGAGCAGAATTACGGTTAGATATAAGTGTGTGTGGGAGAGAAACTCAAAGCCATTTTTCTGCGATATGTTTTCATTATCATTCGTTATCTTAAAGAGGAAAGGCGCGTACGACAATTAGATAATACTGCATTGGCCTTTTAAAAAGAACGTATATATATTTTTTCTTTTCAAAAATTGTGATACTGTCAATGTGAATGAAGTTAACGAGATAACGATAATTCTTGATAAAAAAAACATTAAAAAAGAAAACGAATGTATTTTGGATATTTCGTAAAATATTTGACTAGAGATATTTCTTCACTAAACTTTACAATTTTATATTAATACTAAACATAAAATGATCAGAGACAGACTGAGTGAACTCAAAGAGGTAAATTCTAATATTTTTAATCATAGTTCAAAAAAAGATAATTCAGAATAATTTTAGATTAATGATTCGGATGAAATAATTGAAATCGAAGTAAATCCAGCACAAGACGAAGAATTATTTAAAATCTTGAATGAGGTATAAGTTGATAAATTTTGACAAATATTTTCCGCTTTAATCTGGAGACAAGAAAGGCAAATTATGATTTATTAGTGATGAATGGAAATGAAAAGAATGCATATTTATTTCTTTTTAGCTTATTTCTTATACGCTACTAGTCGAGACTTTAAGCGCTAATTAAATTCATTTTTTATACTGTTAATTAATGTCGTGTCGTCTCGATGACAGAAAAGAAATCTCGGCTTTCTGTGTTAAAATTTCTAGAGTTTAATTTTTTTTTCTTTTTTTAAATTTATTTTAGTTTACATTGATAAGAAATCAGATTGATTTGATAAAGAAAAACATAAATACGATGAGAAATTTGATAAACGAACAAAAGTTTCATTATAAAGATAAAAGGATGATTTTGACAAATATTTAAATGAAAAATATTAAATTTTTATTATTCTCACTTCAGACATAAGAGAACAGATGGAGAAGCTAATATCTAACAGTTTATCTACATCTCAAAATGTTCATAAAGCAATAAAAACATTTCAAGATGGTCTTAAAACTCCCTCAACTTCAAGGATAGTTTTCAGAGTAAAAAACTTGCAGCTTTCCCTCATACAAAATGAGTATGTAAATGTTTACAGGGAACACAGTATATTTGTCGAAAAATATGAAGAAAAACTAAAAAAGATTCTAAAGCGAGAAGCTGAAATAAGTATTTCCGATGCTATTCTTATTTGAATACTTTTTTAATTTATGATTTTATGTACTTTTAGTATCTCAGACTATGTCAAATGAAGAAACGGATCAGTTGCTGAATAACAGAGAATCGATTCCATCTCTTTTCGTTGGAAATGTCAGATATGAGGAATTTATGTTAAAACAAGTTAATATTTATGATTTTTCACCATTCAGATTCTTGAGGAAACACACAAAGCCCAAAATGAGCTTCGTGAAATCATTCAAAGACATGACATGCTTTCAAATCTGGAAAAATCTCTTCAAGAAGTTTACGAGATGTTTGTTCAAATATCAACACTTGTAATGGAACAAGGATCGTTAATTCAAGTGATTGAATATGAGACAGAAAATGCTCTTCAAAATGTAGATCAAGGAGCTGATCAACTAGAAAAAGCAAGGGAACTGCAAATTAAAGCAATGAAAAAGAAAACTTGTATTCTAGTATGGTTATCAATTATTTTAGGAGTGTTGATTATAATTCTTCTAATTACTTAATTATATTTAAATATTTAATAAAAAAAATCTCCATTCTAATAAGTCGATGAAGAAAAATGAGATGCCGATTGAGTTGTATCATTAAGATTTGACGAATGTTGTTGATAGACTCTTTCAAGTCTCGCAATCAAATCATTTGCAAAAGGCAGAAAAGGACGAGCAGTGTTGATTTCAAGTAAAGTAAGATTATTAAAGGAAACTTTTATATCGCTTTCCATAGATGAATTTCCTATTAAAACGAGATCTATAGTTGATCTTAACTTTGCTTGTCGAATATCAAAGATATCTTTTATGAGTGTTTTGACCTCATCAATGTTTGGGATGTCATCAGCTGCATGTGTGAATAGAAGTTTTGAAACCACCATATAATTTTCACAAGGCATTTTCGTAAAATTTCTAAAAAATGGTGTAATTTAAATTCATTTAAGAATTGTAATAAAAAAAAATTTCTTACGGGTCTCGTTTTTCTTCTTCTTTCTTGTCTTCAAGCAAATCTCTATCAATCCAAGTCGGCAATACCAAACGACATTTTTGTTGCTTTTTCATATGTATTCCTAACCACAATGGTACATACATTGGGAGGCCTGCTTTAAATGGTCCTAAACAGAAATTGAAGTTTTCAAAGGTCACAAAAAATTTGAGTCTAAAAACAAAATTGTTTACCTATTGTATTTGATATCAAATGAATAGCTTCAAAATTAAAATTCGGTATTATTCCTGTCGACACATTCTCACCAATAAACTCGATTTCTTCTGGATCCATATATTTTCATCAAATAAATTCCTAACTTATCGAATATGTTTCTATTTGTTTACTTTCAAAATAAGTGTTTAGAAATTGCGCGCAAAATGTAAGAAGGGATATTTTATAGTTTAGGGGATAGTCTTTTAAGTTCCCCTATAAAATTTCTGAACATATTCATAAATGTAAATAATGAGTCCAACATGATAAAGTTAAAAACAATTTTTTCAAGAAATTATTGCACTTCTTCAATTAAAGAGGTACTAACATTGAACACCATTGGTCAAAAAGTGAAAACAAAGGGATGGGTAAAAAATGTTCGGAGCATGAAAGAACATTTATTTGCTGATATTAATGATGGTTCAACCGGTGAAAATTTGCAAATTGTTTGTTCTAAAAGCGACAAAGAAAGAGTCGGTTTTGGTTCTTCAATAGAAATAAAAGGTGTTACTGGTTTGACACCAAAAGGAAAACTTGAAGTGATCACAGAAGAACTTAAACTTATTGGAAAATGTCCTCTCGATGGGAAATATCCATATGTGGCGAGACAAACATTTGCTCCAGAATATATTCGAGAAAATCTCCATTTTCGTTCACGTGTTAGCTCTTTTAATGCAATGATCAGATGTCGCCATCATCTCACCAACATTATAAATAATTACCTATACAACAATGGTTTTATTCAAGTCAATACTCCTATAATCACTGGTAATATTAAATTCTGCTTTATTTAGAATCATTTTTCAAATTAATTTTTTTGTTTTTTACAAGGAAATGACTGTGAAGGAGCAGGTGAAATTTTCATGGTAAAGCCTGAAAGCGAAGATCTTCTTAAATCTATGAAACGCAATGAAAATGAAAAGAGCGAAGACATTTTTTTTGATCACAAAGTTTTTCTTACGGTTAGTGGCCAGTTACATCTTGAATCGATGGCTCATGGCTTATCAAAAGTTTACACATTCGGTCCAACATTTCGAGCTGAAAATTCAAAATCACCAATTCATTTATCTGAATTCTATATGTTGGAATTAGAACAAAGTTTTGTTACAACATTAGATGACGTAATTGATACTCTAACGAAAATGTTTAAAACCGTCACTAATGAGTTTCTTGAAAAGTCATCGAATGAAGTTGTAATAATCAATAAATCAAACAAAGAGTTCAAGTTAGAAAGTCATTTTGATTGGGTGGAGAAAGAATTTCCAGTGATGACTTTTCAAGAAGCTTTTTCTCTCATCGACAAAAACAAAGATAAGTTTACAAAACCTCCGAACATACTAGCTGGAATATCTAAAGAACAAGAACACTTTCTTGCGGATTATTGTCAAGGTCCATGTTTTGTGATTGACTGGCCAAAAGATCAAAAGTCTTTTTACATGCGCCAAAAGAAAGAAAATCCAGAAATTGTCGAGGCGTTTGATTTCATTGTTCCTAGAATCGGAGAAGTCGCAGGAGGAAGTGTTCGTGAAGATGAATTTGAAACATTAAGAGCTAAAATACCAAATGAAGAAGCTTTAAACTGGTATTTGGATTTACGTAAATACGGCGGTGTAACTACAGGCGGATTCGGATTAGGATTTGAAAGATATCTTCAATTTCTTACAAACATCACAAGCATCAAAGATGTTATTCCTTTTCCACGATGGCCTCACAATTGTAGTATGTAATTAAATGAAATTTAGAAAAAGACGAGTTTTCAATACAAAAAATAAAACTAATTTTTAAGACTAAATATTTGAATGATTTATTTTCAGAATTTTAAAACATATGACAAATTTCAATTTTCACTTAACTATCTATTGACTTTATCTTAAAATATCTAAGATTTTTTCACATACTTAAATCCTTGAGATAACCTTAATATTTAAGTTGCCACTCAAGATTCATATCTACGTTTTACATGATAAAGATTTTGATTCGCAACATGAAATGCAAATACAACCAATCAATTCAGCAAAACTTTTGAATGATTTTCTTTATTTTTTTGGTAGCTTTGGTTGGTTCCTAGCAGTTCATGATTCTTCTTATATACCTTACAAAACTAATTGCACGATTTTTACAATTTAAAAATAAGAAAAACATACAAAACTTTAAACGGCAACAATTTTGCTTGGATCTACCTTAATACGTAAGAAAACTGTATCGTCTCGAATAAAAGGTCGTCGGGATAAAAGTTCGTGTGAAATGAAACGTGGAAAGCCGAAACCAAGTGAGTCAGGTTCAGTTGATGGTCGTTGAAAATTTTCCCATGATGGATCTGGTACGAAACTTTCAGCGACTCCGCCTTGAGCACCTCCACCATGTGAACATTGTTCGAACAACGTAAATGTAACAGAATGAGAGAAAGGCCATTTTAACAAAGCGTCATATTCGCCTGGTAAAACTTTTATGTAAACTGAGAGATGTGTGTTCTCGCCTGGACCATTTCCATTCAAAAACACTGAAGCCTGAAGTTTATAGCCATACTGACTTGTATAAAAAGCTGGGCTTACAAGCTCAAGGCCCATTTTTGTCTTTGCTTCCGCCATTTTTGCATGCCAATCTGTTATCTTCCATAACAAAGTTCCCGTGTAGTTTGTACTTAACTTGGCTACAGCACTTTTCAGTGATGCAATCTGCTGACTCTGTTTCGCTGATAACTGAACCATAAGTGATAAGTGAGATGATGAATTGCTTTCAAGATGTGAATCGAGAAGATTTCTTGGTCCTTTGAAACGACAACCAGCATCTTTGAAGCTACATGACACTGCCAAAGCTTTACATTCTTCCCTCAAATGAGCATCCAATTCTGATCGCACTAACAAAGGTGCTTCACATCTTTGAGGACACGGAATTGGACTTCTTGGACATGTGCTTGCATGAAGTGAAAGAGTATCAACCGAAAATTCACGTTGACAATGTTGGCATTTTTTCAAACGTTTTAAACAGTCTTTGGCTTTGTGAATTGACATGCGACCTCTCAATACTCGAGTTCCACATTTGGATTCACAATAAATAGGTTCCTGATTACAAAAACCAGCGTGTTCTTCCAATCCTTGTCCGGAAAATTCAACGTTACAAAATTCACAGAAGGCTCTGCGTAGTGTGCATGTAAAAGCTAAATGATCTGACATCATGACACGTGGAATTTGTGCATTACAAAGATTAGGACATGGCGAAGCATCAAATTTGCAAGTGTTCAAATGAGCCTAAAGTTTGATGATGGAAAGAAAAAAATTATTAGTTGAAATATAATTTTCAATTGTATCTTATGAACATTACCTTCAATTTTCGCAACTCATCTGACCATTTGCAACCTTCTTTGTGATGAATGCAAAACACGAGTGAGCCCATGATGACTTTCTCTGAGTCTGGATCTGGATAGATCTGAAAAGATAAGAAATTCTTTATAAGTTCAATGATTCATACGTTTTATGGACTTTGCTTCCAAGTATTTACACTTTGATAATTTTGAAAGTGACGATGATCGGGGTGAAAAAAAGAATTCCTTTGATCGATAACGAAATGAAAATAAAAGTCTTTAAACACGATTCAATATCTGTTTGCACACACTCTTCGAATATTTATGAGCTTTAAAATTTTGTGTGAGGTCATAATAAGTATTATGAATATTCTGAAATCAGATTTATTTAAAAAGAATTTCTTACAAATATCATTGGAATTTTCATTCTATGACTATTACATGATCAGTAAATAAAGAAATGGCCGAGCAATACATGTTAATTGATGGCTCAAACTACGAATTTAAATGAGGCTTCAATATTTGCTTTTTGACCTGAAGAGTGTTTTTTTCCGCTTCAAGTTTCGTTGAACTCATTGTACGCATTTAGATGAAGATTCGTTTGAAGTCCCTAAAATGCGGTATGTGTCTCGCCGATCGAGTTTATTTAAAACAAAAATGGTTTTAATCAACCACTATGAAACAAAACATTGAACTTCGAGAAAAGGTCTCCGGAAACTTTTCACTCGATGCTAACTTCAAACCATCGTAAAAATATTTTTAATACCGAAAACTTTTTTTTATTGTTCCGCACCATTCCACACTTTTTCGTGTTCTTTAACTTTATTCGCCGGATATCGTTTGTCTTTACCGTAGTCATCGCTTCATCATTTACCAACAATTATGTGGTGGTCATAAAATAATTCTTTATATTTTTGTTTGTCTTCTTTTTTCGCGAAGCAAAATAAAATTTGAGAAGAATTTTATTCGCAAAACTCGAAATTTAATGTGTTTATCTATTTAATCAAAATTTCTCTTTTTAATCGATGTTAACTTTCTGAGAAGGTTGTCGTTTCATTTATGTGAAAAGTTTAAGGGGTTTTCTGTAACATGTGGTAAAGTTTCTTTTAATTTGACTTGACAACGTTCTGCTTTTTGAACAGAGAAAACTTAACAACAATTCTATTTTCAGGCCAACAAATTTCAGCATGTAACATGTGGAAACATTCAAAATCTATCTCGCCTTAACTCTGTTGACATTTTAGAAGCAACAAAATGTGTATTCTCAATACTTTCGGTGATTTATTCATGCCGTATGCTTACGTATAGTTTTGAAAGTTTCCACTTTTCAATATTACGTTGCACATATTTTTATGATGAAGACGAAAATGTGATTTTTAATTAGAATTAAGTGTCTAAACATATTTGAATAATATTGATAATTGAGATTTTTTCGACTCTATTTAACTGAATATAGATAATTTGTTTTAGTTTTAGTCATGACTTTTCAATTTCTTACTTGGAATGACTTCTGAGGATTAATTTCATTTTAACAGTCACACAACGCGGTGGGTTAATTTTTAATTGTTATTGTAGTGTAAGATTTCTCAGTTTTTTCTTTTCTCTTCCTCTGTTTCCATTGTTTTAAGATGTTGTTATGAATGCTTAGATACCTATGAACATGTATTTGCTTCAAAGTTAAGTTGAAACTATTAAAAATCACCAAACCCTTGAGTAGGATAGAGAAAAGACTTTCGCAACTTATAAGCACTCATCATTTGTTAAAGTCACAGAACAAATGATACTCACGAGTGACGACCAATTTACATGGTGAGAAAGCATTCCAAAGTAGAAATCCATTTTATTCAAATGTTAGAGACGGTTTAAGTGCTGTTGTTTAGCTTTTGTGCAAACAAAAGGTCTCATCGGTCGATTGTTACTTAATTTATGCAAGAATGCTTGAAACATTCTTCTTCGTCTCGTTATATAGAAGTCGTGCTACAACCTAATTTGCTCAGAAATTTTCATGATGAACTTAAACTAAAATTACTAGAGAAATAAATTGTGATTCCTTCAATGAACAAGCGGTTTATAAAGATATCGCTGTTGTGCAACGCCTGTAGACACACGGGGAAATAAATTATTTATATTTAATCGAATTTTAGTCGCAAAGTAATCTGATCATCATCACGAGATGGCAAAAGGAAACTGAGAAATTGTTGATCAGCAACTGAATGAAATTGCATTCCGGGAGAGAAGAAAAGTTTGATGACATAACGTGAATCTCGAATAAATGAAGTTAAAAAGAAAATCGAGAATTATGAGGAAACCTCTCAAGGTTCCTTTTACTTTGTTTTTCAATTCATGTCTTAAATTTCATTATTGGAATTTGTGAATCAATTCTTATACTCATACTTATTTAAGCGGTACCATCAATACAAATAACAAGTAAGATAGCTGATTGAGTTCATCTTTAAACTATTTACTTTCGTTTCTATTTTTATTTAACCATAACACGTATTGAATAAAAAAGAGTTATTAAAAGTTGCGAGAATAAAATTTAAACACGACTGAAACTAATATTTTTCTCTATAATTTATATTGATTCCTGTATAAAAATGTAACATATATTTCACGTTGCATCTATGTTCATAGTTATGGAAGTCATTAAGTAACACTTGTAATGCTGAAGATAAGCTGAAACTATTTATAGCAACAAAACAAATGCTACTTCGAGTCTTGAATCTATCAATCAATGACAGCATTAAAAAACATCTTCAAACGACACCCCACAAGAAATAAACAAAATGTGCCTTCATATGCATGTTTCCGAGAAAACTGTGAGAAATTTTATTAAATGTGTTTAAAGTATGAAACATAAACAAAGCAGTTGCATCTTGATGAAATTTGTAAATAGAAACAAGATTGTCTTCAAGCTTCCACCATCACATTGAATGATCACATAAAATTTCTTTTATTTTCTTCATTTTATCGTCTCCCACAATGAAAATAACTTTTTACCTACAAGGTAGAAAGACAAACAAGTTGTTGATTCTTGATGTTTCATCATTTTATTAATTATAATTTTTTGAATTTGTCGGAGGTGTTTTGCAAATTTCAATGAAATATGATCTTTTATAGTTCAGTCATAAAAATCAACAGAATTAAACGTTCTATATTCGTTGTGTGTGACTTAAAATCTGAATGCAATTGGCAAATTAATTGTTAGAAGTGTTTGAGTGGACAGAAAAGATTTAAAATTATGAAGTCATTTAAGCAAAAAGTTCTGACTCAAACTCAATTTAATCTGAATTAATCGTAACCTTGGGAAATTCCACGTAGAAATACTTATAAAAAGAAGTTAATTCTATTGTTAAACGAATCTCAAGAATTTATAAATTGCTATCTAAAATTGCGTAAAATTATTGTTTAGTAATTTGTTTTTCTCCACCGATCAGTGAAAACCAATTCAAAAGCAACAGATTGGTCTGTGGTGGGAAAAATTTGACTGTTTAAATTCCAAAATTTCATAGTCAAAAACAAACATTGGGCTACGATAATGACAACGGCTGACTGTCGTTGTTTGCACAGAAATGTCCTTTATTCAATTTTAATTCGTGGGAAGGACGTGACGTTTGCCTCTGAGAATGTTCAAACAGGAACACAAGACAGGAAGTTGTTTCATAAAATTCTTATCGATTTATTTTTCTCCGACTAATGGTGCGTGTCTCACGTTTTTATTGCTTTACCCACTTATTCATGCATCATACACATGACGCCCTCACACTTCTCGTTTCCTAAACATCATCAGTCAATTCCCATTGTATTCATATTTGACGGACACTATGCCTTTTTTAACCTCTTTATAAATAAATTTTTAATTTTCTTTCATCCATCAAAATCTTCATTTGTCTTTTTATCTTTTGCGCTTTTTACAAATCACTACGAGCTCTTGTAGAAAGAAAACTTTAATTGAAAAATCAATTATGTCGACGTGCGAACGCACATCGCAACAATTTTGTTATAAAACATTATTTTTAACTCATAATTCGAACCGGAAATTTGTCAAGAGCGGAATGAAGAGAGAATAAATAATAAAAGATGTTTGAATTGTTTTCTTTATATGAAGTAAACGAACCATCACAGCAGACATACTAAAACATTGTTTAAAATTTTAGAAAAATGCTTCGCAAGAAGCTTATAATCTCTCCGTTAAATTGCTTTGATGTTTTTGCGGCTCATTTGTATGTAAGAAAACCAACGTGCCATTAAATCCTAATTATGTTGGCTAAGAACCGCGCAAACGGAATAAATAAATAAGTTAGATCCTTGATTGAATAATCGCTGTTCATTAGAACTACGAAGAATATTTTATGATTCGGAATGATCGTCTTCGAATTCTTTACAATGTGAATGAAATTTGTTAGAGAAGTAGAATAAAAAAAATTAAATAAATAAATTGATAAAACGACCATCTGTCGTTATTCCCCTTCCTTTATTCTAAATCTTCATCTGTCTAGTTTTATGATTTCCGATAACACTATTCCTTCGAATTTATACTTTTATTATATCTATTTTAAGTATTGAGTCAGCAGCAATGTACAAAACAACACGACTTGGATTCTGTTTACTCCAAAATTGATCATTCAAACAATTATTAAGAAGCTAATTGATTGCGGTCCGCAACCCAAAGTCTCCTTCAGACTATAAGCTAAATTATCAAGTATTAAATGTTTGCGTTATTAATTTGCGTAATAACAATGCCATTTACGGTTGATTCCACATGCAAATTGCGATTTGTTTTTCCTTGTTTTACACATTGAACCATTGACTTTAAAGATACAATTATCTACCACATTGGATGATTTAATTCACTTCATATCGTAATAGATGTTTCCCTCACAATTCATCTGTGCTGTGTGCAAAGTATAAATAAAATTACCGCTCAAGAAGCACTAAACGGTTTAAGTATTCAACGATTGTTTCATCATATAAACGATAAACTAAACCGATGAAGAAACTAATCATGACCCCAAGCAGATGAAAAAAAATAAAAAGGTTTTCAAAATTAGGTCTTACATCACATTGAAAGTTGATGTGAAATCAATTAAGATTTTTCTAAGCTTAAAGCATTTATACTAACAAGCAAATTGGCTATGATTAGAAAGTGGAATTCATAGCGACGTTTAATGACGAGCATTCATTTCTTAAAGTCCATAATTCACATTAATAATGTTTTTCTCAACTTACAATTTGACTGATTTCCGTAATGGGAACATTAACATTTTGTGGAGAACTAGGTGGAGATGAAGAAGGTGTCGATGAATTGATCTTATTACGAAGTGGTGTCGGTGGTGGTTGAATCGGATGAACATTCACATTGCACTCTTTCGAGTGACGATTTGGAAAGCTCAAAGTTTTCGTCCATTGCGATAAACTGCGAACCATTTTATTGCTACTTATATCCAGTTTTTAATCGCAATATTTTAATTATAATGAGATGATTTTTATTTTTCAATTATCCAAATCTTTGGTGTTCTTATTAATTTTATATGAAACACGGAGGAAGAAATTTTTCTCCTTAGTTAAAAATTAAATTAATGTTACTGGTAAGTCACAACACAGAACAAATGACGCACTCAAACGGAACGTGAAAATTTACTAATTTTTTAACAGAACTTCTTTTACTATTTCTTTTTTCTTATTTTAACAATCGCAAAACACGTCTTCATCGGTTGAAGTTTGAAACCGTAATGAGTGAATGAGAAATACCCAAAGAGAAAATAGCATTGAGAGACAGAAAGTGTCGAGTTTCTCTCTGAAATTTATTTACAGCTGGTTGAAAATTTGTAGAAATAAAATTTATGATGCACCATGGATCTCTTTATGTTGAACTTACACATTCAAACATACATTTATTTTATGTTTCAATTGTGTCCTGTAATTGATGAGTTAACACATCGACATGCCGTCGTCCCGATTGCAACTTCAATGTTCATTAAATCGAATGCGGGTTTAGGCAGATGTTTCAATTTGAAAAAGTTCTGCGTTTGCATTTTATGAAATTTAAGAAGATATTTCCTTTCCTTTCCGTTCATATTTATTAAAGCGTTAATGATGATTCTGTAAGATAGAGTCCGAAGGATCAAAGATCACCGCTAATATAGTTAGTTGAGATAAAAATCAGTTGAAATATCAACTTAAAATTACTTAATATCCTTATTAGAAAATGTTGCAAAAAAATTAAAAAACAGGTTGCGAAACTATGCGATCATTGAAATTTTTCTTGTCCATCTACGCATGCACTTCATCTACATCCTGAATGCTTACATCGCTAAAGTGTTCCAGTTTTAATTTGCAATCGCAAAACGCGCCAAAACGACCTTGCAAAGTCGTTAAGAGAATGAGAAAACTTATAAGACGTTAACTAATACTAATGAACTGAAAGTGGCATGAGAATGAGAAGCAGTTTTGTTGGACATTTTTTGCCTTCTTTTCAAGTCGTGTTTCTTTCTTGAACGCGGTGCGGTTTTCATTCTGTTGTTTTCCATTTACGGCAATATTTGATGGGAACAAGTTTTGCAGCTTTGAATATTTTTTTGATGGCATCTTTGCAATTTGCAAAGTTCCTGCTTGAAAGTATTGGTGACTTCCTTTCTCATGATCACTCCACAAAAAAACTTTACAGTTAATCTTTTAAAGTATCAGAATTAAATTAACAAAACAGCAAGACTAAGGAGAATATTGTAAGCGACATTAATAGCTTTGCAACATTTCTCTAAAAGGGTCACTCCAATTTTACTGTCTTAAGGAATGAAATGAATCCATTGACTTTGAGCAGCCAGTGAACATTAAGAACAGTAACATTGCCGTGTTAAAACTTTTAATTCTTCATACCATCCTCATAGATAAAAAAGATTTCATTTTCTATGGATCCGCGATTGTAATTTTATTTAAAGCTTTTTTTCTTTCTCTCTCTTCTGTTTTATTACTTTTTTGTATTCAGCATACATAAAGACGATGAAACTAATATATTTAAGAACATGGAAATTTGTTACATAACTCAACATCTCAACATTCATAAGAGTTTCATAGAAAATGAAAATGCTGATTCAGACAACGTGATCTTTATTGTTGTCGAACACTTTATCTATCTCGACACAACAAACATCAGGCAAAAGAAAAGAACTGATGACGATGATGATTTACTAACGATAGACATGAACGACTATGGCATAGAAATGATGGTGATTGAAGTTAAAGTTAATTTATTTTTTTTGTGTGTCCGCAAGCAATAAACACTTTAAGATCGTTTGAAAGATTTCCTCTTAAGATTCAACGACAAAAGTTAACAGTCCATGATTGATCATTTCTGATTAATTTAAGTAGGAATTGTGAATCCTTTTGTCTTTAGTAACAAACTCTGAGTTATCGTATCGGTTTAAAAGTCTTTATCAAATCTAAGCATGAGAAGGGAATTTTTTACGTCCTTGAAAATAATTGCTGTGATAAAACAAAGTTGTTAGAGCATTGAGAACCTTCAGAAGTCCTGCGGCTAGATTTGAGTCATTTCTTTCATGTCGGAACGATCATGTAACGTATGCACATAAAGTCTTTGGAATACCTTTGGAACAAGCATGACGAATGAAAATGGGAATTCTCGTTGAAGAAATAACTTTAAAGTAAATAAAACGACACCATAACAACAATCAACATTAAAATGAATTGAAAGATAATTTTCAACGTTGATTGTTTGTTGAAAATAACTATCGATGTCAGGATAGAATCCTTTTCATTATTCAAACTTGATAATTTGTTCCATCATCTGACAACTTACTATAGGAAAAAAGAAGTCATCAGAAAAGAGAGATGAAAAGATAAAAATTCCTCGAGAAGAATCAGAAGAAATGTTTCGTCTCTTAATAAATTTATCATCAAAATTATGTTCTTCAAACCTAACTTCTTGGGTGGTCTGAACTTGGAACCTTCTTTCAAATAAATTTTTCTGTTAAACGAATTTAACGTCTCTGAATAATTGATCCAAAAATACAACATAGCCATGACCTGCATTAGTATTCTCTCAATTCGATTCTGAAAGCGAAGGTCATATTTGATAGATTTCGACGGACCAACCTACAAACTATCGATAAAAAAGAATTTAGAGAAATAAAACAATTCTCGGTATTGAAGATGAAATCGGTTACAACGACTGTTGATTGGAATTTAGATAAGAATCAAAACATCAGACAGGAATATAAAACTGATACTTCTACATTTCATGGGTTAATTATGGGGTCTTGGTCGATCGGATCGTTGAACACAAATTGAATAATTCATCAAAATTATATTTATTTGATAATATTTTCTTATTTCTGAGATGGAAAAGTTTTGTTAAACAATGTTCAAAATAATATTTAATATGTATTAATAAGCGTGAGTCAGTAAAATGAGTCAACAAAAGAAATGTGTTGATCATGGTAAGATCAAAATGGAATCGCACAATATTTGATGCAGTCTCCACTTTCATTGTATTAAAAGGAACAGAATAAACGCGTTACGACAGGTCTCATCATGTCTTATACGGCGCTTACAAATCTCTTCCCTTCCTTGCTTATTCTTTTATTCTTTATGTTGTGCATTGATTTTCGCAAGTCTTTATACGACTGAATTCCAGTCTCTTCGCGCTCAATGAATGAAGAATTTTTATCGGTTTACGTTTTTACTTCATCTTTTAAAAGAGTACCTGCAAAAAAAAACTTGTTTATTCACGATTCAAAGTCTTAAGGTGCTCTATCGGGGATTGCCTTTGTGTGTGCGAATACTTTTTAAAAAGAAATGTGATATTTTATGAATAAAAGTACAGTACATAAAGACTGCCACGAGCAAACAAAAACACAAATTGAAAATGATGCTTTATTTAGAAGAAGAAACTGCTACAGGTTTTCTTTGCCTTTTTAAAAACATTCGGAATGCAATAAAAGAATCATGAAGCGAATAATCTAATCATGAAGCGTCTATCGAGAAGAATAAATTATAGAAGAAGAAAATACTCAACATATTCGGACTTATCCTTCATAGCACCAAATAATTTCAAGATTAACGTTTTTTGGCGTCTAAAGCATGTTAAATTAAATTCGCAAACTGTAGATTTATAAGCGCTCTTCAAAATTAATTTATGATTATGTTAATAGCAGGAATGAATGGTGTTTCCTAAATTTTCTGTCCCAACTCTGCATACAATGTCAATTAATGCTAAATTGATAAATAGGTAATCCTTAAAATGAATCACTATTACTGTTACTTGTTGATCATTTTTGAAGTAATTTCTACGTCTGCTTGAATATAAATCATTTAAACGCCCAAAATATTTCTTCCATTTAAAAGGCCGGTTAAAAATTTCGCGAATTGTAAACAAAAATAAACATCGAAAGCGTGATTCAACATGTTAACGAAGTTGTCCCTGAAACGGTCAGTGGTGAAAATGCTGAACCTGTTTATTCAAATGATTTCAAGAGAATTTTATTCCCGCGATGAGTCAGTCTGACATTGTGTACAAAATATAATGATCAGTCAAAGACATTTCAATTAATCAATTGCTTCATGTTTTATGGTCATCGCCAAAAAGACAAGTTTTTAAATATCATTATTTAAGGAATCATGTGTGCATGATATAATGCATGAGAAAGGTGTAACTAATCGTTCACACATATAAACTTGAATATATGTTAATAGATAGTTAAGTATTCGTTTTAGCAGTTTGTATTTCGTCACATAATTTTAGAAAAATATTAACTCAAATTGTTTTTAAATTCTCTTAAATGAAAGGCTTTTTTATAATGTCGCAAGTTTCCTAATACCTCGTTAGCTTGGCTGTTGGCACTGATTATCATACTTTTCGGTCACAATTGAAAGGTTTTTGATTTTTTTTTTAATTGTAAGTTTTATTGCTTCAGTTGAAATGATCCATTCCTTCAGATGTCTGATGTTTGTCATTAACTTGATAATTATATGTTCCTTTAGTATGTATAATACTATTAGAGACATGTGATTTGCCCCACAGCAGGAGAAACATTCAGATAAACGTCTTATTTCGAGATCATTCACTTGAAATTGCTTTGATTATGATATAATATTTTGCGATTGTGTTTCTGTGTTTGCTGAGTAGTTCTGTGTATGTCAAGTGTTGGTTAAAGTACAAACAGAAACAACGTCGCTCATATGATGCAACTTCTATGAAAAGGCTTAGTAACTAAATGTTTGATGGTATTAAAATGCAGCAAGGTTGATTTCAAATTCAACTTTCTTTCATATGTCAGACGTGACACTCTCACAATAGAAGCTTCAACAAACAGCAATCTTTTTTTTGCAATCGACTCATTTCGAGTCTTATGTGGTGCCACGAATGAGTATTCACTGAACACTTACTAGATAAAATAAATTTTACTTCTAAACATCTACAAATCTTACACTTTGTCAAAAAATGTTAAATAAAAGTTCATTGAACTTCTTATGATTTATAAAGAATAATATTTAGGGTATTTACAAATTTTATAAAATCACAACGGAAATAAAAACAAACTAAGTTGGTGACCTCTAATAACATTTTATTTATATTTTTCATTGGAAAAATTTAAATTCATTCATGCTACTCTAATTTTCTTGCATATTCTTTCGTATTTTATTTCAGTCAACGTCTTTTCATTGAGTTTCTTCATCTTTTTCGTTTCACATGAAAATCATAATTCTTTAACACGAATGAATTAATTTTAATCTCAAATGAATATTTGAATATCTTTTTCTGGATCTTTATACTTATGATCTATGCTTGAGATTGGTGAAGTAAATTTTTATTTGTTTTTTTGCTTATAGCTCTCACACATAGAATAAAAGCATTATTTGAGTTCTTTAACCGTATAATTTGGCTCCCATCAACAATACATTTATGATGAGATTGAAATTTTCTGCAGGTCAATTACACCAAAATCGTAAGTGTTTGGTAATTTAATTTTCCAAAATGTGTGGTACAGACATGCTCTAACGTTTGAAATTAATGCCTAAAACTTATAATATTTAAAACAGTTACACATAACTTGTTAAGTCATCATCTCCTTTGGTAATCAGCTTACAGTATTTGAAAACCTTCTTGCAGTATCTTGAACTTTAGTCAATGAAATGCACTGTGGGAACAGCAAACATACAGATGCTTATGTATTAAGTGCTCCAGTTGTGTAAATATGGATTAAACCCAAACGAAATTCTTTAAATGATTTACGGTGATTAACATAAATATGCTAACTTTCTTTCAATTCATTGATAAAAACCGGCTGGTGCTTAAATTTAATTACATTTAAAACTTTAATAAGTTATTACCAATCACCAGAATAAAGATAAATATTTCTCTCTCATTCTGTCATGGGAATGCATCATTGATAAAAACCAACATTAATATGTTTAAGCTCCAAATTTCTCGAAAATGTCATAGAAATTCTCAAGATTTTCTATCATGATATTTTATAAAATAGATGATAATTTATATTCTATTCTAACTCAAAAACTAATATAAGGTGAAAATTTGAATCTTTCTTTGTTCAACTGCATCACAAATTCCTATGTTCAAAAAATGTAGATAGATTGGTTCTTGCTTGTTGTAATTAATTTCAATGATCTATATTTTGCAACCTAAGTATTTTTTCCAACGATAAGTCTTAAATACCTCAATTAATTGACTTGGCAATTTCGTTTGCTTCTAGAAAGAGTTATTTTGTTCATCAATGATGTTGAAAAGTCGATTTTATTATGACTTTAAATGTATATATAAATACGTATGTTCAATGAAAGATATTAATAGTCAATGTGGGATCATTACAATTGCCGGAAAGATGAATGAATAGATGAATAGATGAAAGCCAACATTCATTTGTAAATATTAGAAAAAAATTACTAAAACTCTACAAGCCGAAGGTCATATTTGCATTGATAGAAATTTTTATAAAACGAGTTCTGATGGATCGAAATTGGCCATAAAGTCAACGACATCCTAAGCCAATTAAGTTGGAAATATTATCTTTATAAGAGGATTAAAGCTGAATCTGAACAGCTTTAAAATAAGGAATACCTTGAATAAAAAAGAAGGAGATTTAATTGCCTAGTGGTTTAAAACCAAGACAGCTCTTCTGACCTTCCCTCCGAGATTCCATCAGACACCTACGCAAGCTTCAAAGAAATCAGGTTTTTTTTGCATAAATTATCGCAATTCGTTTCTCATATTTTTTTAATTTTCCCCGATTAATTATTGTTTTTAACTGTTGAAAAATATCTTTTTTTTTCTTTTAATGCCGACAACACAGCTGACTTTTAAAATTGATGTAACTGTAGGAAGACCAATTTTGGGTCATTGGATTTAAATTCTCATAAATATTTCTTAATTCATTATATGTATCGAAATTATTATTAGGTGATAAGTGACATGTCAAGCGAACGTCAAAGATTTTGGTTAAATAGTTTGATGAAAATTTTGAATGGACTTTAATAATAAAACTTTCTTTATTGATTTGTAATAGTCATAAACGAAAGTGCAAGAAACATAGAAGGTAGATTTTTGCTGCTCCTGCAAAAATCATCAACTGTAATTAAACACTTCTCACTAATTGAATTCATTCAAAAAGAAATTAATAAATTGATCGTAATTAATATGACTTCCGTTCCGTACCTATTTTGCAGTCATAAACAAAAGGGTAATGAGTTACAAACATGTATCGAATGATTTTTCACACGATCATTAAACATTATGACTATCTGATTATTATTTGCGGTGCTAAACATTATAGATACATCTACAATCGACATACAATCAAACGAAGTGTGAGATTCGGTTGAAATCATTGGAATTTTTACATCAGTTATCAATGATCCGCTAATTAATTGACGGTTTCCGCTGTCTTGTACCTTCTGATATGATTTCAGAACTGATTTCCTTTCATCAGCTTTGAAACGTAAAGTATATCATTAAATTACAAATTTTCATTCCATATGTCATTCAATGAAATATGAAAGCAGAAATGACTTTAATGACCAATCATTGCAGATACTTGTCGGCGATTTACGTTGATGTTTTTCATTGACTTTATTACTCATTCCTTGAAAATATTTCAAAGTGCATCCTTGGCGTTTATTTTATCATCTGATTGCACATTTATTACCTCAACATTACATTCTCTCCAACTTTAAATTTAAGCCTTTTAGTTTAAAACGGATGCTCACTGCATACTTCAGTTTTTTTTATTGTGCTTTTAAAATCAATTCCATTTCTTTGTGCTACTGTATGATTGAGGAAGTTTAAATATAGATAAATACTTAAGAAATTAGCTAGCTATTGCCATGTATAATAATACTTGTTTAAGATGTTGACAGAGTTGCTTAAGACTCTTATTTGAGAATGCTCATGATTTTGTCCATAAATGATTGATAAAACCTTTTAAAAATATTCAGAAATTGATTTTCGGTGCATTTAAATATAACAACGATTAACATAATAATTAAATGAGATTAAGCACAAGTTTGAATATCTCCAGATTAAGGCAATTTCGAAATAAAATAAATAAATCAACAATCTGAAATTAATCCAAAAATCACTTTTAATTTCATCAGAAACTGTGACACTTTCTTTACGAATATTTGCTATTTATTCAACAATGAAAATGAAAGTGAAAACAGCTTGTGGCTCTATAAAATCACTATGAAAATCAACATGAGAAAATAATTTTTGGAGTTTCATTGTTCGGCGGAATTTTGAGTTCTAAACTTTCACAAACGCAGTATGAAGTGGGAAACAAATGAAAAGAGAAAAATATAAAAAAATATTGAACGACCTTGTCCGGTTGAACGAATACTCCAAAGAAACGGGAATGGACCGGTTTACCAACATGTAAACAAAGAGTTAAAGAAAAACTTCATCATTCTCTTCCATTATAAATTATTTCTTCTCTCACATAATGAATTTTAACGAGATTTCAATTTCTTATATTAAAGAATAAATCGCGTGAAAATAATAATTAAAATGATTTTGAAAGACGAATATTGCACGAAACCATGTTTAGATTTGCGCTTTCAATTTGGTTTTCTCTTATATTTACCAATTAATTGAATAGAGATACAATTAAGTTTTCAATTCCTGAAACATCTTTGGATCTTAAAATATTGTTATGATAGTTTTTCTTATGAATAATTAAAATAGATGTACTTATAAATATTAAAGTCATAGAGACGTTATTTACGGTTGTTTTGTGTTGTCTTTGTGGTGAGAATCACTTCATTAAGTTTATAGCTTTCAATTGTTTCACTCTCATCAAGGAAGGTTTGATGTCACATGAACAAACATTAAGAGATAAAATGCTGCTATAAAATATCAAGAGATTACTCATGGAAGTTCCTGGAATGTTAATTTAGTGAAATTCTCACTCAATGATCAACAATCAAAAAGAATTCTTCGTTTTAGTTTTGAAGATGAAGCAACAAAAGCGTCATCCTGAAACGTTTGAATAGAAATTACGTATTCAGATCACATCAACGATGCCATAATTTAAGGATTAAATAATAGTTAAAAGAACCTATGTCAAGATAAGAGCAGCAACAACTCGAACAATAGAAGCTAACAGAAGGAAACAAACGACATCAGAATAAACTCAATTTTCTAGTTTCTTCAACATTCATGGATAACAAAAGAATGTTTCTACAGTGCTTCAGCTCTTCTGTCTATGATATAATTTTATGTAATCTTTGACGTTCTGTTTCAGTGAGGCAGGAAATGGGAAGGTCATGGGTTCTAAAATATCTTAAGAAAGAAAGTTCATAAAAAAGCAAACCGTTTAATCAAGACAGAAATAAATAACGTAAATATCTTGAAAAAAAATCTCTAATGTTTTCAAACACAAAACATTTTTAACCATTCATCCCAAACTTTGTTTGATCAAGAACGAGAAGGAAACGATTTCTTTAAAGTGCATGGACATTCACGATATATGAAAAATATGAGTGACTTAATTATTTGGTACGAAAATTACGCTAGGTTTTTATTATCTAATTAAACTAGTAAGACATTTCATGAAATTTCACGTATAGCATTCTAAACATAAAACTTTTGTGTAAGCATCTTAAAGGGAACATAATTTGGAACCTTAAAGAAATTGATCTTACTTGGTTGTTGGTACAATAAACCTTTGATAAGATTTCAGACTTGTTCCAGACTTATTTATTTTTCTATGTTGACTAAACAGAATTCAAAATGCAGTTAAGTTACATATCGCTCTGTGATCGTCTACCAACCCATGTGTCACATTCACAAAACAAGCCATTCAAGGTGAAATTTTCATCCCTCTTTATAGTTTTAATGCTGCAGCTATCTAAACACAAAATAAAATCCGACCTTATGATTGCTAGTTTTGGAACGCTACAGTGAAATGGAGTTTATGAGGAAACCATATGTTGTTGCAACAAACTCAGAATAACATTTTCCTACATTTTTAAAATTGATTAGATATATCTATTAATAAAATAATATTATTATGAGTCAAATTATTCCATTGATATTATTTAATTAATGATTGAAAAAATTTGTTAATAAATGTACAACGCATAAGGAAATTTTTTTACTGATCTTTTTAAAGAAGTGTCAACAGTTGAGCAGAGATCATAGTAAAATCATCGTTTTAAATAATATTCCAATATTTTTGTATACAATTTTATAACTTTTTTATGAGTTTAAGGAAGCATTATCCAATTTGTTCAACACTTGAAATATTCCTTTCTTTAGGTGCAACGAATTTTATAATTTCTAAAACTAAAATTACGCATTAAAAGAGTCAAAGATAGGTTTTTACAACACTTGAAATAATGCGACTTAGAATCAGAAGATTTCAATTTAATATCTTTTGTTACACCTATTTCAACACTGTTTATTAATGCGTTGTTGTAAATAGACAATAAATTTGATGGCTAAATAGAAGTGTATAAAAACAATTGGGATGAAACGTCATAACTCAAAAGGGTTCAAATATTACGACAAAGATTTATATGACGAAACATTATTAATAAGGCTTCTTAATGGATGGGAATCTGCCCATATGTGTCGATTTTATTTTCATTGAATGTAAGTCCTAAAGTAAACACTAGAATTTAAATGCGTTAGAAATTAAAATTCATTGGATTTGAAATTGAAATCCACACGAAATTTATTACCTCAAGTAGATTTATGTTCTTTGGGATGAGGTTTATAAATGATGAAAGGATATTTGTAGATTTATTAGACTGAACCAAGCGTACATAATTCGAAGTTTTGTCGAATTTATTTAACAGTTGTGAGGAAATTAAAATGAATATTTTTCTCTAGCTTTTGTCTTCTTTAGATGATTAATTGATTTTTTTTAATGACGGATAACAACAGAAGGTTAATGATAGTGTAGGCCAGAAGGGCAAGCTGTTTAAGATGACTTCGCATGGTGATGTTTAATGAATTAACTCTAAACCGCTTTCAAATAATTTTAATTAGCAAAACATGCTTCTGGTTTTTTTCAAATGCTCACCAATTCTCTCAACATTTTAAAAACTTTGGCTACGTGTTAAGCTACAGTTTAGAAAAGAACATCGTTTCTGTATTGTGAAATTTAATCTTTACAAAAGGAAGTTGATCTCTTTTCTTAACATTCTCTTCATTCTCCAAATTTTCAACAGATTGATGGAAATTTTGATTCGAAAAATGCTAAAATATATTTTGTAGGTGAAAACATCTGCTGACGAAATATTGCCTGAATCTTTTCACGAATACAAATGTTGATGGTAAGTAAGTAGAGTTGGGACAGTGAAAGGAATGAGAATTATTGCGTGTGTATTTGGAAGTATTCAACAGCAGTCCTTATACCAAAACTGTGTGATTATTTCGCAGCCATTACAGTCAGCTTGTTATCCCAACACCAACAAAAATAGTGGCGGAATGGATATTTGTTCTAAAAACCACTCTAAATAAATTAAATTAGGTACCTATAACAAAATACCAAAAATAATAATTTTATTACCATTTCATGATGAAAATGAGTTTAAAAACTATAGATTTTATACCAATTGCAATCTATCTTAATTTTTAAGGATTATTGAAACCTAACTTCTTATATTCTTCAGAAAAGTCTTTTTCAAAAATTCTTATCTGTCACGTTTGTTATTTTTATAATTTGTTATAATTAAGTGTTGACTTTTTCTAATATTCATGGTGAATTCCAAATTTCAGAAAAAGTTTGAAGATGAGATTAACAATTTTAAAAGATTTCCATCTACATCCCTAAGTATGTCGAAAAACAAATTCTTCATCTTAATGACTTTAAAGACCTTTTCAAAACATCAGCAATGTAATGTGTTGAGCATATGCGGGTTTCAAATAATTTCAACCCACTTTAAATTTCAAAGAGTATATTTTTTGTTTTTAAAAGAAATTCATAGAAGTTCCTCGTGCAGTATGTAAGGGAAAAATCTTTTAACCCAAATGTTCTAGGTCATACTTTTGAATGCATTTAAAAGATAAAATCTATTTAGGACTAAAATCAAAAGGATGTATAAAATCTGATTCCAAAATAAATAAGAAGGAATTAAAAATACTTCCGGAAACGGGAATGATGCGAAGATTTATTGATTTCTCTTCAAATTACAATCTTAAAAGTTTACTTGTCTTTCGATTTTTATGCCATTGTAAATGTATTGAAATGATTAAATAAATTGAAACTCACCGTGGTGCGATCGGGCGTGCACTTTACTGCTGTTATATAGTTAGGCTTTGGTACAGGTTGGCTAATAGTGATCAAGTTATCTCTGAATTGGAAGGAGGAAGAGAGACAAAGATAGATAAATATCATAAAATATTCAATTTTGAAATAACAAAACAATTTTATTTTTGCCATAAAACAATCTTGTAAAAGCAACAAAAGAGAAGCTTGTTAATAAAAAACAAAAATTGAATTTCAAATCATGATGATCTGAAATGTTAATTTCCATCCATTCAAACGAATAACCGCGTCTAAACAAAATACACCGAAACTTAAGTGATTACGTGGGTGTGAGAAAGAAATCCGAACTTTGCAATCAACGATGTACCGAAACGATCTGTGCATGATATTTCACGGTAACTTATTAATTCAAACTTTAAAGCTTTAGGAGGAATAACATAGAATAAACATTTTTACCTTCTTAAAGCGTGGGCGTAACTGGTAACACCAGACCTTGAGTTATTGATCGGCATCTCTTTCAGTTTTCTTAACTCAAAAATATGATTTCACTGAAATCACATAAAAATTACTACTTTACAGTTCAATTAAATTGACTACGAGTTTTAATCTTTAAACTTCAACCTAATTAGCCTAATAATCAATGATATGTAATTAATGGTAGCGCTAAAAGAAAACTTAATACAACCAATACGCTAAATCTGGCCTTAACTGAATTTTCTGAACCTAATTAGCATAAAATCTCCCAATAACTTTACACTTTTCATTCCAATTTAAAAATAAAAAATACGACAAGCACCACCGCGCGCAAATCAGCAACTGAATAACAGACGTATCTCTGTTCCCATTGAGTATCAATCTGTAACTCAATCTCAACAGAAAACTAAAAAGAAACTTGCAAATTTATACGATGGAAACCGGTGGTTTCGTTGTTGGTATTTTTTCTTTCCGCTGCAACTTGTCTTCACTATGAACATATAAAAAGATTGCAGTTAAGTCATGTGACATGCTTACAAACACCAACAGTTGAGAGATTGACAGATTGCATGCTAAGCTTTGTATTGTAAATTACTGCATGGAGTGAATAATTGAAGCAATTTCGTAAACAGATGGAAGATATAAAACAAATAACATAAAACAATCGAAAAATGTGCTTTACTATCTTTCAACTGAAGAGTAAAAAAGTTTTCAAAAGCTCTTTGGAGCAATCTTTAATCCAAAAGCAATCCAATCTTAAGAATCAGCAATCAGAAAATTGAAGAAATTTTCATTAAACTTTAGATATAAAAATTGCTATGCATAAATTAGTGTAAGTCAACTCCTAATTTGTTTTTAACTTTATATAAGACTTCTAATAAAAAAATAAAGATAGATTGTTTTAAGTTAGGAACCCTTTGGTTATCTCATAATTTCATTAATTCTTCATAAGAAGATTTTTCTATCTACGCGTAGAAAAATGATTTTGTTAATAAAATTATTAATTAAGCACAGAAAATGTAAATATTCATATTTTAATTTAATTCATTATGTTTGAAGTGAAACCTTCAAGGCTGTTGGTGAACTAATGGAAGAAATGTTAATGTACAAATTAAATTGATGTTGTTTTCTTTGTTTATGCTGCAATGGTTTTGAGCGAAAAAGTCGTTACTATAAACTATTATGTGAGTATTTTCAACAATAATTTTAAGTGTGGAGGTAGCCGAGAAGAAGTTTTAGCATGAAAGAGAGAATTATTAAATTCTTGACGTTCACTCGAGCGTAAATAAGTACCTCCGACTAAAAGTTGAATTGCAGACTGACGGAAAGTATAGGAAATCCAATTCCTCTTTCTTCCCATAATTGCATTTAAAGTAGATAAAACGGCGAGAATTCTTGGAATGTGATGGCGTGTGAATTTCCTTCATTTTAAAAACCACACATTTTTTTGGTTATCATTCTATTGACTCGATTCACAAAAGCAGAGGAAGACAACAAGAGCCTTTCTATAGTTTAATAAGGTAAGAGTTACGTTTAATGTCTATGAAAGTTTTTAAAAATATTATCTACATGTTGGATATCTGCTTTTTTACGTTAAAGTTACTGAGTTGAATATTTATATAAAAGTCAATAATAAATAACAATCAAAATATCTTTTGAATATAAATAATCAATGATAGTTTTTATTTATTTCAAGCATAAATATCACGCTCGTCAATTCTTATGTCCGATTTGGAATTGCCATGGGTGTGACCAGAGTCCATCCATTTCCGTTTTCGATAGATTCCCATCGTATAACGAATTTGAATCACACGACGTGACTTTGTAATTAAATTTAACGCATTGTGTTGATATCTTGTGTGACTCTTTAGTCTCCGTTAATATAATTTATTTAGTTAGCTATTAAATTATGGTTAAAATGTCTTGTCCCATTCTTTCCTAATTCAGTATCAGAAGTTTGTTGAAATTGTTGAAAAGAAAAGAACTCATTTTTAAAGGAAATAACTTAAAATCTTTCAAGCGGAGAGTTCATGATTTTTAATCTTTATTGAGAATGTAAAAAAGCCAAAGAGCTGCTGGAAGTCCAAGCTTTTCATTCTTTTCATAAGTAATTCTGTTTTCAGTTAAGGTCTTTTGAATAAAAAGTTGTCCATCGTCAGCTGAATGCAAAAGTGTTTTACGTACAATGTAGTTTTCTGAATTGCTATTAAATGTTTCTTTATATTTCTGCATGATGGTTTCAATAGAATCTTCTTCGCAAACAGATAAACGAACAGTTTTCCTTGTTAATGTATTAACGATGCGAACATATCTTTCCAAACTTGTAATTTTTCCAATAATATTTTTTTTATTCCACCAGAAACAGCAATCCTCATTTTCCTTTCTGTATGCCGGAAGAAACCTAAATACACTTTTTCCGTGCTGGTTGATTCGTTCAAGTGGTTCCCCTTGATCATTGAACCAACAACTCAAGTCTTTTCCTGCATATTGAAGAAGTAAACGAAGATTCTGGAAAAAGTAAAACATGAATTCTTAGTCACATGTTAAACTTTATAGAACTTAACATCATCATTTAAATTTTTATTTTGTTTCTGAACAAAACTAGTCAAATCATATACAAAACCATGAATGATAACCCATATGTTAAGTGGAGTGTTGTGAGTGACAACTTCATCTCTGGTATAGTATGCTTTAGTAAAGTCCATTTGAAAGTCAAAAAATTTAATTTAGATGAATTTTGAGACAGCTCTTTTAACACTTCAATTTCAAAGCTAATTGCGATAACACGCGTCTATATGTTAAAATATATATAAATGCTGGTTGCATGCATGCTGCTTCGTTATGTTTAAAAATCATCAACCCATGTTAAAGCAGACAACCATAACTGTTACGGAATGAATTCTGAAAGAATTTTCGAGTTTTAATTAAAAGTTATCGCTATCAAAAAAACGTTACTTACGTGAAATTTTTATAAGAAACAAACAGATTCTTAGAAAGACAATCTGTTATGAGAAAATAAACGATCTATGTTATCTATCTGAATTTTTTTGTAAATAATTTGGAAAAAAGTCATCATGAATCATTAATGACATTTTTGTGCCTATCAAATCATTTTGGCCCATTCTTAATTAAAAAAGTCACTTCAACTTTCAAGTGAATAAAAATGGAATAGAAAGCTATTTTGGATTTTGAAGTAAAATGTTGTAAATCCATCAGCCAAAGAGTTTAAAATGCCAGATGGAGTCACCCTCTGTGGAGAAAGAGTCTCTCAAGCATATCCAGGAACGAAACTACAATACATATTGCACATGTTCTTTTACCTACTTTGAATGAATGTTTAATGAGTTTGAACAAAATTTAATGGCTGGGAGGTAGTTATTAATATGATAAAAAAATTAGCAAAAGAAACATTCCTAGTAGCCACACGATACTTATTTCTTGAATATTATCACAAAACCGCTTCAAACTTTGAAAATAAAAGAATTATTGAACTGAAGAAGAATCATTTGTTATGCTGGTGAACATATTTAAAGATAGCAGTTGGAAAATATTTTGATCGAACATCATGTTCGTTGCTCCAAATATTTAGTTATTGTAAGCAAATGCAATGACTCTGAAACTATTAAAGTATGATCTAAGTTCAAAGCAAATTGGGATAAAGTTTAACAACTTTTTTCTGTTACATTCTCCTTCAATTTATGTTTCAAGATTTTGAACTTGTCTCTTATTAATATTTATCTTATATTCGAGAAAAAAAGCAAACAATTGATGCAAGTTCATAACATCTGCTGCACATGTTTGTTACCAAATGCTGGGTGCTCATTTATTTAATTTTCTTTTTTAAATTTATTTGTGGTGGTGAAATTGTTCCCTCAGGATGATGCTGCTTTTGATATTTTATATTATTTTATATTGGGGAGTTGTTGAGATAAAATACATCTGCCATCTGACGTGATCCCATTCATAGTCATCATCAGAGGAAATTGAACGATTATCCTTACTGATTAATATAAAAATATTTTCGACGCTTTCAAAATATTTGAAGAATAAAAAACTTAAATTTACGAAAAAGGGAGGAATACTCACATTCTTGATCCGATCCCAATCAAACGTAACCGAAAATTATTGGTTCAGACGGCACGTGGCAGCTGCTTATTGGAGAAATCATAAGATTTAGGTTTTCGATAAAATAAAAATAAATATTACTTAAAGAATTTTATTAAACTTTTTATTGGATCTTGACTATAGAAAAATTTATGTTTTAATTAAAAGAGACTTCAATAAAACTTCAACGGAAATGAACAGTTTACAAAGTTGTAACTAAATCAATTTCATTATCACTGCATCTGCTCACATCTGCTCGCTATTGATAAATATAGCAATATAATTGATACTTTTTCAAAAGGACTCAATTCTGTCCTTTCATTTCTTTTTAACAATTTTGAGAGGTGTTTTAGTACGCCATAAATCATGATAAACGGAAACTTAGTTCAAGATAAAATTGAAAAAATATAAAAAGGAAAAACATTTGTTTTTTGCTTCGTTTATTTAATGAGTTTGCTTATGTTTTGCGAAAAAATTTGGAATTTTGCACCTGTGATTGGCTTAAGTGGGTCTTTTCTCATTTTATAGTTTTGACTTCAGCTGCTTGAAAAAATGTATATTCATAACGACTCGTAACATTATGTTATAATGCTTGCTGAAGCTCTTTACATGAATTCAACACTTAAACAACCGACAGATGTAAAATTGTGATAATGAACTTGAGAAAGACGAGAATTTGAAACGCAAGAATCATCATGAAAGTTCAAGCATAATTTCGAAAACAAAAACGAGATGAGGGCTCTTAACGCCAGACCAGAAAATAAATTGTTTTAGTGTCTATTGTTTTTATCTTCAGAATATTTCTTCTATTTCTTTCCATCAATTTGAATATTTTAGTGGGGAGATGTTATAAGCAGCTGACACGTGTTCAATGAATAAAATTATTCATTCGACAGTTACAAACAGTTTCTGTCTTTTGGAGAGTAAAAATAATCAGATTAATATCAAATAAATTGAATTTCTGATTCAGTTATGGAAAATATTTGATATTTCGTAAAACAAAAATGTCTCCATTTGATAATGTTTTTTATCTATTAAGTGCTGCACATTGACAATTGCTTTTTTCATTTTCTTGTTTGAATTTCAAAGTATTTTCTAGCAAGAATGTACATAAATAATGATCAAATTGGCACATATTTAATGATATTCAATAATTTATTAAAGATATTTAATTAAATACCTATATTTAAGGAAATACAAGTTTTTCTAATATGAAATTATATTTTATTTTATTTTCCAAACCGTAAAGAGTAACTGACCACGAGTAATCTGCATTATATTTTTCAATTTAAAATTAGAAACTTGGAAAATATTGAAATGATTTAAAATCGAAAAATATTCGACTGATTATGACCTTTCCTTACAACAATTCTTCCAGGATTTGTTTCAATTGTGATTCCTCCAATTCTGGTTATTGACTATAAAAATGATGTATTTAGGTTTCATTAATATTTTATCTCGTGATATATTACCGAATTTGGGTGGTTTCCATAATATGGTGGTGGAGGTGTTTGGTGTTGATGTGGAGGTTGATATTGAACATATACAGGGGCATTAACAGGAACAGTAACAGGTCTAGGTGTCAATACTTGAGAAAGAACCATTTGTTGTTGAGCCGATCTCAGGTCTTGTTCCAATAAAATATGATCAATAGAAACTTCACCATAAACTTGAATGCATTGCACCAAATGCAATGGTAAGCGATGACGAAACACCCCCAAATGATGACCATTTATTGCTATTTTATAATGTTGGATTTCAGCAAGAATAACGATTTCAAATGTTTGATTTTTTTTCACTCTACAAGGTCCATATTTTTCTTCGTTTCCCCAATTACCATTTTGAAAATGGTTTCTTACAATTAAAAAATCTTTTGGTCTTATGCTAATGTGAAACATGATATCTTGTCCACTTTGAATACCTAGAGAGTTTGTGAAATCAATCATGCATCTAAAAATTAACACAATGAATTAATTGGAAAGATAAATGTTTTCATTTTTATTATGAAATCACCTTCCATTATATCCATTGATTTTTCCTTTAATGCGTATCATAAAACTTGGCCGAAATCCTCCAGCGATGTGCCCTAAAAAAGGAACGGTTGGATTAAACACGGGAAGTGTTGACATTTTTTTTCACTTTAGAAAAGTTTGCCTGCTGCAATGGAACTGAGTCAACAATTTGCCAACCAACAAAGCTTTTAAAATTCGACTTATCTTATCATCATGACTCATTCGAGATAAAAATATCTACTTCTAAAGTGCATGTGTGTGAAGTTGATAACACTAATCAAGACATATGTTTCTACAACGATTTTAATTAGACACAATTATAATAAATGATTAGCTATAGAAGTTTTATTCGTTGCCTTTATGTTCATATTTAGATACAAATATTGAAAACAATTATAATTTTAGAAAACAAAAAGTTTCATATTTCAATTCGAATCCTTTCTTGTTTTAGTAGGGACGCCAATTCTGTAATAAAAAAAAAGAATTCCACAAAAAATCCATTATTTATATTATTTATGACTTACAGCATCTGGAGGTTGTTGATTAGGATAATAAGGTGGTTGATGAATAGGGAAATGAGATGTATTATGATGCGGAAATTGTGATCCTGGTGGATATGGAGTTTGAATTGGCATAGGCATATTTGGAGCAGAAGGTGTTGAAATTTGATGGGTCCCCATATGAATACCACTTGAATGATGGTATCCGTTTTCTAACAAAATATGATCAATAGTTGCATCGCCATGAACATGAATAAATTGTGACAATTGTAAAGGCAATCGATGAAGGAACGCTCCTATTTCGATTCCATTCAAAGCAAGCCTATAACAATCGTTCTCAACTGTTATTGTCATTTCGAAAGTTTCAAATGCTCTCGCGAACGGCCCATCGCGTTCTTCATGGCCCCAACTTCCATAACTGAAATGATTTCTGATAATTGCTGACTCTTGCGGTCTGACACTTATATGAAAGATTATGTCTTGATTCACATTTATGGCTGGCGTGTTTATGAGATCTAGCATAAGTCTATAAAAATTGAAAGTTAGCTCAATAACTTTTTGGATTTATTAGGAATTTTTTATAAATACCTGCTGTCATATCCATTTATCCTTCCTTTTATTTTAATAATATGACCAGGCCGTAATCCACCTGGAATTGCACCAAGAAAAGGAACAATTGGATTATAAATTGGAATAGTTGCCATTAACAACGAAAATGGATTCACTCGCTTTGAAACTTAAATCTGACTAATTTTTTTTTTCATTTCATTCTCGATAATTTTTGTCAGTTTGTACTTTCATATCACAAGTTTACGATTAGTCATATGTGCAATTATAAACAAAACGTTCACACATCTACAGCGTAGAATTATCAGTTCGGTATTGAATGATGTAAAGCGTAAACTTTTGACCAAAATGAGAGAATTATATTTTTATTCCAGAAAAATCGAATTTCATCATCAATTTTGATAAATTTATCAAACTCTCAAAAAACTCATCTTCAATGGACTTTGAAGTTTCGAACCAACAAAAATTGAACACAAAATTTAATGCATTTTGATGTTAATCCTTTTTACCTTTACAAAAATACTTATTGGAAACATAACATTGTTAATAGAAAGAAAACGTCCAACCATTGTCTAGCTAATAAGAATTTCAAGAAGAAAAAAGAGATGAAAGTTATTTTATGGTTTCACACCATTGTGTGACTATCAAATAAGAAGCATTTGAAACACTTCATGTTAGAAAAATATTAAAGAAAAAAATTAATCCTCATTCAATTATTGGTTCGTTTTTTTTTATTTTCTTCAGAAACCCTTTGTATTGTATTCATGTCACTTTCAAAAGAGTTAAAATAAATAAATGCTGCTTTTGAAAACGATGCATGTTGAGATCATTAAATGAGTTAAATTAAAAAACAAGAATCTAATTTGATCGCTTATTTGAATCCTTTGCCTGAAATTTGGTCTGAAATAGAAAGTGAAAATACGTTTATCCTTTTTGTTGTTTCTTTTGTCATACTGTAGTTTTCTTCACAAATTTTATTTCAATCTTTTAAAATCTCGTCTTTCTTTTTTATGGAATTCTAAGCATTTTTTATTGGTATTTGTCCGGTGCTATACGCTAAGGCGTACATCAAAGGATGGAAATATTTGTGGAATATGAACTAGGATAGAATTTCACTCAGAGGAACAAATTAATGTTCAGTAAAATGGATTGGATGTGTATGAATACAGTGAGATTAAATGTTGTGTGCTTCAAGAGTAAAAACTTAAAACAAGGAGGAGCAGCATTACATAGTATTCCTCTTTTTAATAGTGTAAAATCTTTCAATTCTTGAAACTATAAAATTTAAGAGCTCTTTCTCTTCCAAAAATTGTGTAATGTTAATATGTGTCGACAAACGAAAAACAAGAAGGCTCGACGACATAAAAATACTATATATTCAGTGCATTTGTTTTAATTTGTAGACGTAAATAAAAGCTCGACATTTTTTTTCATATTTCATAGAATAATTTTATGAATATTTTGCAATAATTTTATTTTAAAATCTCATAATGTAACTTTTTTTTGGGATTTTTCTTTTGCTCAAATCTAGATTTATGCTTCATATAATTCAGCAGAAGATGTTAATTTGACAATAATTCTTGTTAAGGAAAATTCTTCATTCATTATAATCTGAATAATTAATAATTTTTTTAAAATGGATTAAAGTTCGGACGCCTTTATTCTTTGCAATCTCTTAAACTTGATGATAAATAATGAATCATCCAAGGATCTTGAAGAAATTTTCACTCTTTCCATCCGAAACTTTCTAGCTGCCTGTTAAAGGTGATAAAAGCGTCCCTTTGGGGTACTTGCAATAATCTTGGTTAGTTTGCTTAAAAATTAGAACAATGATAAATGCTTTTTCAAAGAGATAATTGTTGTGAATAGAAACACCATGTTACATGAGTCTCATCATGAACAATGTATAACTGCTAATATTTTTTGTTCGTTTTGGACATTTATACACAAATTAAAACACGTTCTTTTCATATCATCATAGACTCACATGAATATGTATAATAAGTTGATTCAAATGCTTTTGAGAAATCGTAACCATAAATTATTAAGTAATTGAAAGTTTCTCAAAGAATAATTTTCGTCGCTAGATTTTCAATTCGTTTCTTCGTTTTCACTCTCCTGTTAAATGTTAAATGTTTGTTTCATTTTCAATGTGTTCTTTGCTTTCTTCTCGTTAAGAGCTTTTTGCTGAGAGCAAGCTGTCAAAAAGTGAGAGTCAAATAAAAGCTTTCAGAGAGAATTTCTTCTTCACAGTTTTTTCATGAGCTTAACTCTCATAAATTATCTTCTAGTAGATATTTAGCAAATGGTTTAATTTTCCCTGCTCAAACTAAACTTAAAAAGTAATCTTCCTATTTTTCAGTCCAAAATTGTAACTTCATTATTTTAAATAAAAGACAAGAATAAATAATAAGTACGAATCTCATTTTTGATAAAGAGATGCCGGTTTTAAATGATCTTAATTTTGACCTCTGATAGTGAGAGCTTCAATTGATAAAAAATAGAATCTCTTTATCCAAATATATTCTTAAGTTTCCAAAAGGAATAATATTAACTTTTAAAATTTTTCAAAGTATTTCCTAACAGTTATAATTTATTGAAAATATATTTCTTTAATCATCTCAACTCACAATGTTTACCAACTTTAATTTAAAAATTCAAAATAATATACTGTGCTATGTAAAAACTTATAATAAATGCAATCAATTATAAATTAATCAAGTATGTGCTGTAGAAAAATATTTAATTTTTATAGATAAAGTATAAATCTCTTTAAAGCCATGTTTCATTGAAGCAAAATCCTTTTTGTGGGTGCTTACGTCGTCATCAAAATATGTTGTTTTCATCATTTTGTATATACGATATAAAGAGAAAGAGAGGTACATGTGTGATTAGAAAATAAACAGTAACTACTTTTTTTTTAATTTTCTGTGTTTTTTTCATCCCTGGTTTTATCATGTTGTTCACTTAATTTTTCATTTTTTAATGAATGTGAGGCTCAAGCAATCTAATCGCATTCAAATTTGCGGGCTGGATAGACAAAAATGGAATGCGATGATTCATTTGTTATTTGGCCTTTTATGTTTTAGCAAAAATTCCATTGATAACATATATTATTTAATTTTCTTTCATTTCAATTTTGATCAAAACGTTCATATTTTGTAGAACGAAAATGACCAGCAATGTGGTATGATATATATTAATTTTATATTTTTCCATCTTCCATTATTTTGTCTTTTTATCGCATAACAAATATGAATAGATAAATATTTTATATCCTTAATCTAGAAAGATTTTTTTTTTTGGTTTTGCGTTTTTTTTTCTCCTTTAGGTATCATTTTTTTCCATAATTCTCCAATATTATTCTCAAAATGATTAAATTTTTATAGGTAGATAATGCGTAAGTTTAAATTGTCTTTTCTTGGTTAATAAATACAACAACTTACAAAGTCATTTTATATTTAAAATATTTGAGATAAAAGTTATTATGCTTATTTTTTCTTCCATTGTTCAATTGAATTTTAAAAGATGCTTGATGGTAATCTTTAGGTTGTTCATTATACCTTCCTTTTAAATTGTCTAATCAAAAAGGGAAATTTTGTATTTTTTTTATTTTGGGGAGTAAATTTTACACAAATTTCATGCACAACATCAAAATTAAATTGACATAAATACTTTTATGCAATGATTAAATGTTTGTGTGTGGATAAATCTTATCATTTTTTTTAGTCATTTATAGTTTGATTAGGATACGTTTTTGTGATAACATGAAAGAAAATAGCTTCAAGATACGGAAATAAAAACTCACCACTCTAAATGCTTTTTTCTTTTTTTTTAGGAAAATTCGCCACAGAATGTAGCTGAGAAAAATATAACTTATCTATGCTTATATAATGTTTTCCTTTTTCAGTTTAGTATCCTTAATCATTAATTTTCGTTAGCCGGTTTGTCAGCGGGTTTTTCGTTTTGATTCTCTTGCTCCTTAACTGTCTCCTTCTCCAGTTCTCGTTTCTCATTTTGAGTTTGTGGCAAGGCTTTTAGAATTGCATGGACCTCTTCAGCGACAGCTGTCAGAACAAATTCAAATTGTTGCTTCGTCTCAACGAGACGAGCTCGTTGATCTCGGAGGTGTTCTAGTGTAGCAGCAATGTCAATCTCTCGAGCTCCTTTATTCATCCTTCCAAGCACTAAATCTAAGAGAATATACGCACCAGCTCTTCCAGCACCATTGCTGAGAAAACGAAAGAAAAATTGAATTCTCCAAACTTAAATATATTTGGTGTGAAATGTTTACCTGCTATGCACAATAATTGGACATGACCTTCCACGATATGATTTGTTGACTTTCCTTCTGAACTCAAGCAGAGCTTTAGGGGAAATCGGTACACCTGCTTGTGGCCACGAGAGGAAGTGGAACTGGGTTACTGTTCGTGTTTCACCCGTCCTTAGATTTTTCAAATAGAATGATCTAACTAAATAATCATCTGTCCAGATATGTTCAGAAACAAGATGCACTTCATAAATATGATACACTTCAGCACCTTCTTCAGGCCAATAACGAGCGCAACTACTCTCTCCACCTTCCTGAAGTCTACATAAAGTAACTAACACCACACATCCTTGCTCCCAAACCATTTGCCAGAAGTGTGCGAGAGTCGCTTGCAAAGGAGCTTGTGCTGCAATATATGCAGGTGCACGAGGATCATGATCAGTCTGAAAATAGATTCACTGTATTGAATTCATATGCTAACTTATTAAAAAATGTAACTTACAATTGTTGATGCATTAATATAATCCATTCCTTCAGCATTGGCTAGATGATTAAGCACAACACGAGAATGGTCAAATGGCAAAGGTGCGCCTATTCTGTTGAAAGCAGAACATTCAGGTTGTAAAGCTGCTTCACGAGCATTTGGCTCAGCTTCATAACGACAGAGAGCTTCCCACTCACGTTGCAATCTTCCCTTGTTTCTCAAGTGGTCTTCCATATACGATAAAACCATATGCCCAGTAGAAATGTCCATGTTTGAAAGTGCCGGTTCTTCACTCCAAGAAGATGTTGATGACCTCGATGATGGTGGTCGATCATTTTCTTTTGAAAGAGATGCAACTCTTGCTGTTGAAGTGTCATTTTTTCCTGCCATTCTTGCACGACAGAGATCTTGATAATCTTTGCTGCTTGTTTCAACTCCTGAAAGTCCCGCTTGTAAGTTATTCAACTTATCTCTACGTCTTGAAACACGTCGATATACTAGCAGTAAAAGGAAACACATAAGAATTGCAAGAGCAGATGAAAGAATTATCATCATGTATACGATCATCGTCCAATTGGGTTCATCAATTGCTTCCATTCGTGCACCATTAAATTCATCTTCATAGTTTTTCACTTTGTCTCCCACGCCTGCTGCTTTTACAATAACTCCAAGACGCCGGGATAAATTGTTCTTGAATCGACTATCATTGATAGATTTTGCAACATCCGCGGCAGTTTTCTTGTCAATATTCGGCTCAACTTTAAATGACACCTCATGACGATCAACTCGAACATGCGTAAATGTATTTTGAAGATTCAACAACTCTTCCAAAGCAGCAACAATGCGTTGTCCATCTTGCCAACTGTCCAGAGAGTTCTTCAAGATGACATGAGCGAACTCGGGATCTACAGAGTAATTGGCATGGTCTAGATTACTGTGCATTTGCTTCTTCATCTTCGGTTGTTCTTCAGATTTCATATGTGCTGGTAATTGCTCGAGATTCCTATTATCAACTTTTTGAGGTTCATCATCGCTTTCCAATGGTTCTTGCGGTTTTGGTGCAAGTGGACCTGGTTTTTTTACATCCAATCTCTCATGACGAGTAAATCCCATTATACTCTGCAGTAAGTTTGTTGTTGCATCGTTTTTAGAATTTCCTGGAACATAAATCAAGCCACCTTCAGTATAAACTCCATCATCAGGAGAATCTCTATAACTTGAAAGTTGATCACGTGGACTTAAATAAACAGTTGGAAGTTCATTTGCCTCCGTGTCTTCATAATCAAACATTCGACGATGATGTTCATTTCTCCCACTGAAAAAGTTTGGAGAAACTTCTTCGTCAATTTGATAATGTTGAGCATTTGGAATGTGTTCGCTTTTAGCCACTTCTCGGAAAAAAGTAGATCTTGACCCATCATCAGGCTGAACCTGATTTTGATCATCTCTCAAGTCATTCAAAAGCTTTTGTAGTCGTTCACTGTTCATGAGTTCACTTTCACGTTCTTTAAAATATGAGCCATCTCGCCGAAAATCACGTTGAAATAATGGAAATTGCTCTCTTTGAGAATCATCGTAATCTTGTGGTGATTGGAAATTGTCATTAGTTTCCTCGAATAAAGTTTCATCCACTGGTGAATGAACAAGTCTATTTTGCTGTTCGTATTCTGCCAACATTCGACGTAATTCCATGCGATTTTTGATGTCACTTACTCGATTACTTAAATCATTGGTGCCTTCAAGAATGTCAATCATTTCCTGTTCAACTTTAGGATCGTCAATATCCTCAGGACGGGGAACTGTGAACTCCCTTTGAAGAAGCTCATATTGTTCAGGTGAAACAAAATTAAGATCTTTTGCCGCCATTCCATGATGACTATATGGAGCAGTTTGACTATTCAGACCAAAAATTAGAAACATTTTTTTATTACACTATACAATAAAATGATTTTTTAACTGACCCGTTGGATTTTTTAGATATTGGATACAAATATTCATCAGAAAAATCATTAACAGGTTGAGTGAATCGTACGAAAGCAAGCGGATTTGTTGGATCGAGAAACTTTGGAATTATTGGAGGTGGAGCTAAATTTACACAAGCGTCTCGTTCCATATTAATCATGTTTCTCATTGCATAGATAGCATTCTGCATACGACACTGCGTAAACGGATGATCCCATTGAAGTCCGGCTCCGTGTAGTTCTTGCAACATTTGTTTCAGTACGATGATTTGCTCTTGAGTCAGAGGTTCGCTAAAATAAATTCAAGAAGGAATGTGAAAAATTTTTAAATTTGAAGTTTTTTCGCTTCATTCATTCTTACCGATACATTTGCTCAGGATCCGTTTCAAAGTGTGGAAGACATTTTCCAAATGCAAAATCTATATTGAAGCGTAATAATAACGACATTAGTTAATCTTTACATAAGTAATGTTTATGTTATTATATTTTTTCTTCAATAGATAACGAAATTTATTTACATCATTATTATAATGAGCCTTAAAGAATTTACGAAAGGTCACGAAGAAAAAAACTGTTTGCATTGAATTTTTTCCGTTTTTTAACAAAGCATCAATATAATTTATTAAATAAATTCAACCGCAGGCTTCACATAAATTTTTGATTATATCATGAAGGATAAAGATTTTTCCCACCATAGGAATAAGAATTTTTTATCTGAATTAAATGCGTGGGCATTATGCCAGGGGTTCAGATAAAAGCATAGAGTCAGCCATTTATAATGCTATGATTGTGTCAAGTGATTATTACCTCTATATAATAATGCTTTTAACAATTTACTTACCATCATGGCACCACTCCAGATTAGGAACACAAAGTTGCTCCACAAAGAGGCAACCTGAGGAAAGAAACGAAAGAGTATGAATAAAAGTAATGAAGACAGATTTTCTAATCTTATATCCTATAATAGACTAAGAAAAAATATTGAAAGTTTTGGTACATCTGATGTTTTGTTGAATAAAAAAAGGAAATTTTTAGGCTTTTTCAGACTGTTTAATTTTATTATTTCTCGACTAGTTTCGAACGCTGTATTGGTTCATCACAATTTAAAATCACAATCAATTACAATTTGTCGGCATATGACAATCGGCATAATTGGTTGTGATTTTAAATCGTAGAGAATCCTGAAGATGAACCAATACAGCGTTCGAAACTAGTCGAGAAATAATAAAATTAAACAGTCTGAAAAAGCCTAAAAATTTCCCATTTTATTTAAGAAAAAATATGT